GATAACAGCGGAGAGTCTGGGTCTAATACTCCAGGCATCCATAAATGAATGGATGTAGACTCAATATTCTCATTCTTAGAACAGTCCAAACTTTCCGTTTGATCTGGCTCATTTATAATAATTACCGGTGGTGTGTTTTTCACTATACTTGTACTGATCTTATTTGATGTGGAATCTGCGACATTGCCAGTAGAGCCAATATTAGGGCGTTTACCATGCCTTTGATCTCTTCCATATGTTTTTCTCACCAAAGTGAGCTGTTCTGGTGTTTGATAACTGTTAATGTCACTTTTCTTAGGTTTCTTTTTTACTTTTGAAACTGTCGCCACATCAGAACCTGAAGCTGTAACATTTTTCGCGCATGATTTTAATCCCATATCGTCAGTTCGTCGTGTTATGATAATACTATTTGTTTCATCTTCTTTCCAACATCCACTTTTTGGCATATTACCTTGCATACTATCTAAATACTGTTGATTCAATGCATTAAACTTTGCTTCAAAGTATTTGTAAATTTTTTCAGCATCTTTGCAAGAGAAAGTGCTTGTTTCTAGACTGGGTTGTGAAGTAATATTACTGTTACATGGTTTTGATGGCGAGTTGGGAATGGGGGTAATTAACTTATGATGTAATCGCATTCTTTCCAATATCATTTCAATTTCCCAATCCCCAGAACTATTAGCAGCAATATTTTTACTATTATTTAATTCTAGACATTCCCTTTCACTAATTGATTCCATGGAAATACGCTGCGAAGTGTCATGCTGATTATCACCAGGCATCGTGATTGAATTAGTAGTCGCACCTTGGACTTCAATATCCTTATCCTCATCAGGGCTTTCGTCAATGATGGGAGATATTAATTGTCCAACCGCAGTTGTATTATCACAAAACATATCGAAAGTCTCTGTATCCGATAAAATGTCTGTACCAATATCCGTTTCTGGCAATTTAATAATATCTGATTTCTCAAATTCGGGAAGACTTAGTGCCATATCTTTGTTACCATTCGTAGTTTCAGGACTGAGAGTGATTCGTATATTTTCATATTCGAACAAAATAGGACTTGTAGCCACGTGAGCATAATTCGATTCAAATAGGATGGGACTTGTCGAAGTATTGACAAGTTGTTTTTTCCGATTGTCTGCAATATCTGGATTGAAAGGGCTGTGGATGAGGAAGTAATCGGGACTATTGAAACATTTGTCCGAAGACGCGAGTGACGACCCCCGGCCCGTATCTGTATTGGTTAGTTCAGTACTGTTGTCCCAATCGTGATCATTATCTTTTTTGGATGAAATAATTCCTGTAATAAATGTATCGCAAAATTAATTAAAACCACTAACATTATAAAAAGTAATGTCCCATGCAATGCAAAATTTCAATTACCTTCAGTAACATTCTTTTCAACGTTTTCTGCAGGCAGTGTAAACTGAAAAAAGAAAGAATATATTAAGTTCAACATAACATAGTTTTATGAATTAAATACATATTATTTGAATAATCATCATCATCATCATCATTTCAGCCACAGGACGTCCACTGCTGAACATAGGCCTCCCCCAATGACTTCCACATCGCACGGTTGGTAGCGGCCTGCATCCAGCGCCTTATTTGAATAATAATTAAACATAATATCATATGCTTCTTTAAAAAACAATTTTTTCATGTGGTGCAAGTTCCAGACTAAAAGTAATATTACCTTGAAGGACTGTGGCAACGAAAGCAAATTATTTTCATCTGTTTCACCATCACTCTTATCACTGTCGATAATTTCTGTTTGGGTCTGATATTTCATTAGAACATGTTTTCGACGGGAACTCAGCTTTCCTGCAGAGTAGGTATTTAAAAAAATTGTAATTAACAAAATAAATAAAACAAATTGTTATAATTGATTGTATCAAGTATATCAATACTTACTTTTGCCCAACGCAACACCACTGGCCATACAAATGTCCTTTAAGAGTATCTCCTTTGCAGTTTGAAGGTTTGCTATTTGCTTCTCGCAATCCCTAAGGCTGGTTTTAATAAGCTGATTTTCAATTTTGCTTGATTCCATGGCGGTTTCATTTTCTTTAAACAAAATCTTCAAAAGAGAATAATATAAGATAAATAATATAAGAGAAATAAATAAATGTGGGAGTAAGTAAATAAGTAGGCTTGAAAGTGCTCTAGCTCAGCTAAAAGTAGTACACAGAAATTTGAATAAACAATAAGTGATACATGTAACTAGTATGAGTTGTGTTATTGTGTTTTAAGACATCACAAAATTTTTAATTTAAGATAATCTAAGAATTAGAATAATAATGACAAGGGCTAAGTACTGTGGGATGTTTTGTTAAATATTCCCTACTAGCTTTACGCCCGCGGCTTCACCCGCGTGGAATTTTGTCTGTGTCAGAAAAACTATTTCGCGCGCGTCCCTGTTTCAAAAACCGGGATAAAAACTATCATATGTCCTTTCCTGAGACTCAAAGTATCTCAATGCCAAATTTCATCAACATTGGTTCAGTGGTTTAGGCGTGAAAGCGACACAGACAGACAGAGTTACATTCGCATTTATAATATTTCCCATACTGAAACTGTCAATGTGCCAGTTATACCAGGAGTAATTCTCGGATAAAAGTTTGGTCGAATCTGGTCTAAGTAGTATTATAATTCATATACTAGTTAGTTTACCTGCATTTGATTACAATGAGACTGCATGCCTTCATAAAGGTTTTGAGTATGTTCATACTTTTCCAGCAATTCCTTATTAACATTGTTTAATCTATTTACTTCCTGAAAGTGAAAAAGATAAGATGAAACATTTTACACATACATGAACGAGGGACAAATGTTGGAATTGTGCTACATTGGTTAACATGTTGAAAATCCCAATTTAAAGTTGCCTGAATTCTGCAGAATAATAAGGCACAGCTTGTTGATACATATCTGTATAGAAAATATTTTGTTAAAAGATACATTTTTCAGTTTAAGGTTATTAGATGGTTGAAAGCGTTCAGCCCTTAAACAGAAATATCAATGCTAAACCGTGATATGATAAAGGCCAATATTATTATGATAATCCTTTTAAACAAAACCATACTTACTTTTTCATAATAACCTGCTTTATCTGCAGCATCTTTCAATTCAATACGTATTTGCTTTATTTCTTCTTGAAATGCAGCAATATCCAACTCAAGCTGTTCACAGTCTTGCCTCTTGTCATAATAAGTATCGATTAGAGTGCTAAAAATACAATATTTTGTTTTTAGAAATTACTGTTTTGAAAAAAATAAATAAAATAAAATAAATAAGTAATTAAAAACAACAAATATAAACTTACTCTGCACATATTATTCTCCTTTTTGTAACTTTCAGAGATTTCAGACATTTTTCACTTAAATCTGGTATAATAAATTTCCCTGGATTTTCAGGAGGTTTTGATATTTCAGTCCTCTAAAACATAACATATTTTCGTCAATAAGTCATATAACGGATGTAATTAAACTTAATTAATGGTATTTGAATCTAACAGAGAAGACTTTGTACACACAAACATGTAAAATACTCTCACAATGCATTAATATTACTAGAACCTTGCAACTGCATGTTTATTCGATATTTTGATTTCTACTAGATCAGTCACTGAATGTTAATATTCACAAATAGATTTGTAATTATTCATAATACAAGATTACTTGGAAGGCATGAACTAATTCTTGTTAGTTAGTCACACAAACACACAGTAGGAGACTTGCAATACAGGAATAGTAAGTAAAAAATCACAAACATAACATTTAATTTCAGAGTAACTGCAATATGGCACCACTTATTCAGTGTATACCTAAATCAATCCTGTTTAACTTCCAGCCCATAATTGCCACAAATTGTGATTCAAAAAGGCATCAGTAAATATAGTTGCTTCACTGCTAATGGAAATACTCATGGTCTAATGTAATTTGCAAGTCTCATAAAAAACATGAAATCTACTACAGCAAAAAATATTTGTGATAGAGGACTTCATCATCACGTTACAAATATTTTACCAAATACATTAAAAAACTTAAGGTTATTATAACATGAGCGCATCCAAGTGATTGGTTAATAATTATTATTAAGTCAAGTAAGACAATTCATAGCAATTGCGGTTAGTTTAATTTAATCAAATTCATTTTGTATCAAGAAAGGTGTTATGGTTTTATAAATTATTACAATAGTTAACCTCTCTTACCGCGGATTCATATGCTTCTGAATGAGTAGTGTTGAGAAATTCTGCAATATCAAAGCCTGAAAGTGCTTCATCGATAGACATGTTGCACAATAATCTTTTCTATATCTTGACTATTCAACAATGATTTGTTTGGAAATAAAAACAATTATTACCGGCGCGCGAACACATTTTTGACAACTAGTTTTTCAGCCGATTTTCGATTTCTGCACCATGTTTATGCCATGCTCTTTGGTCTATGCTTTGGCTGACAGACTGACACTACTATCNGCTATGTATTTATCTATGGTAGATAGTGTAGTTAATATTGATTGAGCTCCCAAGTTTGAGCTCAGTGGTCACTATTTGGCGATATTGCTGTTGCCCCAAGCCTTAATTTTTAATTTAAAAAAATCAATAGCTTCTTGTCAATGTCATTGTCATGTTTTGATTGGTTTTGATGATGTACCGTTTGTTTTGCCTTTGTTGAATCTCATTTTGTGTTGTACTTTTGCTGTATTGTAGTTAATACATTAGTTACGGAGCGTGCTGGTGTACTTAATTAGTTGTAACTTTCAATTAAAAAGTCACATTCGTATGCTTGTGTTAAATTGAAATTGCTATCTCTTAGTAAATCTAAAAGTTAATTAAACACATTTTTACTACTTTAAATTTATTCAAACTTAAATTTTATCACGCGGTGCCAGGATACACTAAGGTTTGTACCTCAATTTTATAAAATACCTGTACTCTGAGTTGATTATGCCTCGTTAAAGAAAAGATAAATTGAATATTTTTATTTTTACAGATGGGCTTTAACAAAGTAAATAACGAATTAACTCAGACCAACTTGTATGATCGTGTAAAAAAATTATTAGTTTCATATGAATGGAGTGATTGCTGTTTCGCTGTGTCAGGGAAAAAAATTAAGGCCCATAAATTAATATTGTGCATTAGCAGTCCTGTTTTTGAAGCAATGTTTTATGGGCCTCTATCCAGTGACAAGGAAGTCGTAATTACAGATATTGAACCAGAAATATTTCAGCAGCTACTGAATTACATATACACAGACAAAGTTGAAATATCTTCTATTGAAGAAGCACTTGAATTACTGTATGCATCCAGAAAATATATTTTAGATCACTTGACTGATATGTGTATTGCTTACATACAAACTAATATTTGTGTGGATAATGTTATTCAAGTTCTTAATTATCCTGACTACGACAAGCAATTAACATCATGTGCACTGAAATTGTTCTGTGAGCATGCAAGATATCTATTCAGAGAAAACATAGATATGATTTCGTCCTCTTGTATGGAAATAATTTTAAAAAGTGACCAGATGAATATGAAAGAAGTGGAACTCATTAAAAATGTATTTAAATGGACTAAACATTACTGCCAACAAAATGAAATTCCTGAAACATTTGAAAATAGGCATGAAGTATTGTTCAAAAATGGGTTATTTGAGTTATTAAGATTCAACTTACTATCTTTTGAAGAATTAGAAGAAATAACAAATAATGTAAATAACATTCTTCTCCCTAAAGACTTAAATTATATCAAGAAATCATTGTTGTTAGAATGTGAAAATAATGAAAGAAGAAGCCTACATAAACACAAATATTTGCCACGCAGCCCCCTGAAACTGCAATGGTATCTTTGTTACCGAAGTCCCTTGAGACCTGTGGCTCCTTTAAATATAGACTTAACCAATTACATCAAACATTCAAGGATAAAAGCGAATAAGTCTATATTTATCAATTCCCTTTGCATACCAGCCCGAACACCACCTAATTTAGCTTTTTATAATGATAATGTGCCAAAAACTTATACAGAGCTGTTATCAGTCTCCATTGTTTCAGTTTCTGATAACAAAATACTACAATCTAAAAAATTTACCAGCACAGTGAAATATGATTCCTCTGTTGAAATAGAGCTCAGTGAACCCTGTTTTATAAAAAAGAATATGTGGTACAATATCCAGTTTATGTGGCCACAAAACCAGTTTCAACCACATTCATATGTAGTAGAAGTTAGAGATCGAATCTCATATGGTTATAAGACTCTAACAATTGAGTTTGATGACTTGAGTAATGGAACACCTGTAGGAAGTTTTCTTGAAGGATTGAAGTTTTGTTTTTAGTTATTAATCCAATATTTATTCATGTAACCTTATTTGAAATTTATTTATTAAACTTACCTTAACTTTACTTATCAATTGTTTTTTTAAATTAATACATTCATTACACATGTAGTAGTAAGCGCTAGTATGCTTAGCAGCAGGGCCGCTAGTAAGCGGCCGCCCGCGACTTCGTACGCGTGGATCCCGTTTTACCCCCTTCATCTATCTTACGCGGTTTAGATTTTTTCATACAAATGTTTTTTCCCGCTAACTCCCGTTCCCGTAGAAATTTTGCAATATCCTGTAGTAACTAAGCTTTAAGTTTACTAAGGTACCTGCAATCCTGCATGCCAAATTTCAAGCGTCTAACTTAAGCGGTTTAGATTTTTCATACAAAAGGATTTTCCCGCAAATTCCCATTCCCGTGGGAATTTCGGGAATTCCTTGTTGTAACTAAGCTTTAAGTTTACTAAGGTACCTACATACCAAATTTCAAGCGTCTAACTTAAGCGGCTTAGATTTTTATACAAAAGGATTTTCCTGCTAATTCCTGTTCCCGTGGGAATTCCTAAGTATACTATAACCTGCCCAGGAGTATAAAGAATAATTGTACCAAGTTTTGTTAAAATTCGTCGAGTAGTTTTTGTTTCTACAAGGAACATACAGACAGACAAAAATTTTTCTGATTGCATTTTTGGCATCAGTATTGATCACTAATCACCCCCTGATAGTTATTTTGAAAATATATTTCATGTACAGAATTGACCTCTCTACAGATTTATTATAAGTATAAACTAGTTTCGGTACTACCGAAATACTTACGGGGCTACGAAGTACCTACATTATCTTCTATCCTTAGATGATATAAATAGTCAATACAAGTTCAATAGCCTCTTTATAAAAGAAACGCAACTGGTTTTTTAGATACAGTTTTCATTATTACCATACCAGTATGATAAGGTCAGCGCCGTCCATACGCGTGCAGTTCGTTTATTCACAAATCGCGCCTTTCATAAAAATGCGCCTATGATAAGAGAGAAAACTTGTGTAACTTTTTGAATGGAAAGTGGTAGGTAGGTACCTATTAAAGTTAAATAAGTACCCTAGGTAGGTAATTACTGCCACAATGTAGCATGTTAAAGTCAGGATTACTGCTTTACCCTGATAAATTTCCTAATCAAAAGAAATTGATCAAGAGGTGGAATTTCCTAATGACGTAGATTCCTTAAATACGTACTGGCAGGTGTAATAGGTGACGCTCGTGAACCAGCGGATTGCGGAAAGCCTAATGTTCACGCACGATTAGCATATTATTTATCACCTACAAAATAAGTATGACGTGATAACTTATGACAAGTGCATGAAATTGTTTAGCTGTTGTGATTGTCGGTAAACAAGTGCCTATTCACTACTGCCTTGAAGGGGCGCAGGTCATACTTGTTCGTAAAAAAATCCGCAGGTAAGAAATTAAAGTAACAATAAATACCTGCCGTGATACTTAGCTAGCGCCTTGAGCACTAAGTTATGCCATGCGCATCGGGCAAGCAGATAACCAAGGTGACATCAGCAAATGTTGCTTACATTAGACCGTAGACGTTTTAAAATAAACGAAGCGCGTAATCTTTGAAAATTGATTTGATGTTATCGTAGTGACCAAACTCTGTTGTAGACTTGAAAAGGAGTCTGCGAAAAGATTAGCTATGAAAGTTTTTAATCGTGATAAAGCTCGAGTTACTTACTTGAGATAAACAATAAACTCCATCTAAAAACTAATTAGGTAACCTTACCAGATTTACCAAAGATAACCCCTAACTGAACCTGTGACTTCCGGATTGAAAATACCTAGGTATAGTTCCAAAATACTGGACTGTCCTGTCGATGACATTGACAGTGGGGCGCCACCGTCAATACCGGATCGCTGGTTCAGATTTTTGCCATGTTGGAAACCATGTAGTTGAACGATGGTAGCGCCCCCCTGTCATTGAGTTTGGCGGGACAGTTCAGCGTGGGTCATCTATAATCTACTTAATCATCTACTACTGAGATCACGAAAGCTAAAAAAAATACATGCCGACTTATACAACGTGTCCCAAAATTCAAGGATAAGCCGGCGCCGCAGGGTGGACCTAGTCATGACTGCTTTAGGAAAAATAAGAAAAAAAATCTATCTCAATTATTTTTTAAGTTACACAATAAATTATGAAATTCGTCGAAAATTGACACCCCTTATGATATTTTACATTACCACGACTACAATTTTTCGAATACTTCAGTGTTTTTGTTTGTATCGGCAACTTAAGTAGTGCTGCTGTCCACCCCAATTCTTAAAACCCTCAGAATCCTTGCAGTTTTTACACAAAAGTTAATCAAAATATGATATTTCCTTAAAATTTTGTACGATTTTTACTTACACTCCACTTTGACTCGTCGTTTTGTAAAAAAACAGTATGAACACCACTGCGGCAAGTTTTTTATAAAGTTGACGCAACTATCCAAGATTCCGAAATGGTATAATACACTATGAAAAANACACGTTGTATACAAACTCATTCGATAACAGGCCAACACTTCTTTCTTATGACTTTTTGTTCTTTTGTGGTTAATTCATTAGTTGTTTACCTGCACCTGCTCTAAGTCCTTCTACGTCATTTAATTTGACGATGTTTACACAAACGTGAGCGAAAGATAGAACGCAGTTATTCATTTTTGGACATCAGTGACATCACACAAAGGCATATTAAGTTGGTTTCTTGGTTTTCAATTCCGGTGGCCCCTTATCACGAATATTATGATAGGTTGTAGAATGCCTTTCTATCATTCAATTTAGATCTAACTACTTAACTGTCGTTAGAGATAAAGCAACTGACATTAGTAATTAGTAATCTAGTGCCTGATCTAAGCAATGCAATGATTTTACCATTAGGTAGATAACTTTATCATAAATACCTACATCTACATATTTTCCACGATAAGAAACAGTCAAACAGTAAGTTTGAAGGACCTAATAACTCGGTCGTTATTTAAAGTTATATCAGACACGCCTACTTAACTAGGTACTCAAAATACATGTAATCGACGGTGAAGTGACAATACCTAAAAACAATATTTTTTTAAGAAATCGATTTTTAATACAATATGCTTAAAATTTAATTTCGCGTGGACTTTTTCCATTCGAAATTTTTCTCCTAACTGATATTAATTTCTTTTTAGATAGCAATAAAACTTTGTGGAAATAGCTGCTATTTATGCGCAAGTAATAATTTTACGTATTTATTTCTATCTTATGAAAACCAAAAAAAATGCACTTAGGAGGTATTGTCACTTCACTGTCGTAAAGTTGATCTACTACCTACAAGTACCTACATAGTTATTATCTACTATACCCGTGACACAGTAGGTAAGTATAGGTATGTTAGATTCCAATGTTAACTGAGTAAGTACATTAAAGACTTCAATATTAACTGCGAGCAGTTCGTACATAACAATAATTGTGTTGCTAATTTACCGGCTCCGAGCGAGGTGGTTTCAAGGTCTCTACCTAGATCAAGTTCAATGCGTCAGATGTTTAATAAAAACAAAAGGCGGTTACAGAACCTGTGTTTTTAGATACATAACTACTACGAGTATACCTACCTATATAACTTAAGGTTTTTGACACTAAAAAGTAAGTAGGTACACGAAAGTTTACTAAAACCTTTGTCACCTGTTTTCCGCTTTGCAATGGAGGGAAGTCGAACCTTAACTTCGATATGTTCTGATTAATTTCGTTGTGGGTTCAATGAAAGTTTTAACTTTCCTCCGGGACAAACTTGACCTTCACTGGTTGGGTTGTTATTGGCGGTTAAGCTGTACATAGATCCCGGCTCCTCCGGTACACGATATTAAGAAAATAAGTACTTGAAGCCATGGAATATTTAATTAAAGGTTAAGACAAATATGGAAAAGGCAATTTGAGTATCCCACATCATAAATAGGCCGTAGGTCGACATGGCGATATATTTTTTATTAAGAACTATCTAGCTTTGAATTTGTCTCGTATCAAGGGGAATGTACTAAGTTGTATCATGAGTAGAGTCCAAAGAAGCCCAATATTTAAATTTCAATAAATGTTTTAAAATGTAGATACTAGTAGCCTACATTTTTGTTATGTTAACTACCTCTACTCTGATCACTCGGAATTACTTAATTAGAAATTAATTGACGCTTTTTGTAGTTAAAATATTTATATTCATCAAAAAATTTAACAGTTACAGGTGTAGTAAGTAAATTAAACAAAATACAAACAGAGTTAATTGACACTTAACGCGGAGGACCCTCAAATTTTTTGGTTAGCTGAATAATCCTCTCAGCTTCCCGTATTCCACTCAATCGGGCTCCATGTACAGTAGCAAAATATCCAGGTACAGTAGCTTCACCCGCAAAGAGAATAATTGGAGGTTGTGGATCACAAGGCCCTGGGACAGGTGTGCCCAGCTCGCACTGATGGCTTACAGTTGAACAGCAACTCATATATGAGTAAGCCCCACAGAAATGTGGATCCGATGCCCAGCGCGAACGCAACATCATTTGTGGATAAGGCAGACAAGGATTGCCGGTAAATCTGCGTAGCAACTGTGTTAATCCTTCTGCGACATCATTATCGGCCATCGATTCCATTACGGCAGCCTCTTGACCCGAAATCCAAGCACAAAGCACATGTTTACTGCCTGGCATTTCATCTACAGAACATACGCCTCTAAGCCAGTCGCATCTACAATGAAGTTCTTCGGCTGACCAGGCCATTTTTAAACTTCCTTCATGGCATACCCAGAAGGGCTCAGCGTATTCAAGAAATACTTTATCGCTTAGACCAAACCCTAAGTTGCAAATAGCGTCTAACTTACAAACTGGCAGCGGTGGTGCAAACAGTTTGTCGGCTTGACATTTTAAACAGCCAAGAGACATCGTAACAATAGCATAATCGGCTGTTAATTCTTCACCATCACAACATTTTACGAGTACTCGGCCAGCTCCTGCCTGACCCCGACCCCATCGAATGACGTTTACCGGTTTATTGTATCTAATGCTATTATCTGGAAGCCCCCTGAGCAAAGGTGCCATCACACCCACATAACCGAGGGGTACTCTGACGTTTCCACCTGGAAGTTCTATATAGCTTCCATACTGATCTGCGCTAACGAGTGATAAATCATCGCCACATCTGTTTCTTAAGATATTAGTCAATCCGAACATTACTCTTGCTGCATCGTACCTCTGATCCTCAGGGAAGTTATAAAGTTCTTGTTGTATACGAAGACCCACAAAATTCAACAACGTACCATGTTGCCTTTCACCGCCAAGTCTAAATAAATTAGCAGCTTGCTGTTCTATTTGCCGAAACGTGTGGTATGCTGTTATTGTGACTGGCAGATCGACGGCTCTGCCTTCGCTGGTGCAGAACAAACCACGTGATGCATCTAACCGTGCTAGTGGTGTTTGCAACAGTCGGTCTTGAGATGCTAGTGTGTATACGGTATTGGGCAAGCAAGCACCGTATATCCATTCTGCACCCATCTCAATAACTGCATCGCCCAGCCAACATGAATGGATTCTACCTCCAGGTCTGCAAATAAAATAATACATACAATAAAAACAGATATTATTTAATCAATTAATATTAGATAAAGATCATCTTTGATTATTGACTTTAGTTTTAGACTAAACATAGTACGGAATAAGTTAAAAGAATTTCTACAGTCAGCTATTCTAGATGGAATGCAGATATACCTTTCTTTAGCTTCAAGGACAACAAAGTTCCTAACTCCACACTGTGTGAGGCGGTGAGCAGCTGATAGCCCAGCCATGCCAGCGCCCACGATGATCACTCGCGGCTCTTGGCAGCTGGGGCTGATGCTGCAAGAGTCCAGAATACATTGCTCTTGGCCTGCTGCACTGACAGCGCTAGAAAGTCTCTGACGGATTGTCATTGGTATACCACCCACTCTGTCAAGCTCTCTTGACCCCCCACATTTTAATATAACCCTAGGGCTTCCTTGCCATATTAACTTTAAACGCGATAATTTCATACTGAAATATTTAAATAATAATTAACTGTAAAGCCATTTAAAACATTGTTAAAATTACATGACACTCGGTTCAATTTTGATATTCCAAAAATCATGACAGTTTACTTTAGTCATAGATCACAAAAGAAGATTATTTTATAATTTTGTTTTTAGCACTAAATGGCAAATCTCTAATAAAACTCTTTACTTATCCCTATCATTAAAAATTATCTATTGTTCTATACAGGGTGTCACGTAGAGTGCCGGAAAATAATTTTCTTCTTGTTTTAGGTATTTGATTTTTATACAACGGTAAATAACATTACCGTGTTTGTGCCGAAATACTTGGGTTGGTATAATGACTCTTCTTCCCAGCACCTGCAGACATGGTAGTAGGTAGAGCAAACTATATTTGGGACGACCTGAAAAGTGCCTTTGCTATAAAAAAAATGAAGTTGACCCATGAAGGTAGCATGTAGTGTAGCATGTAGGCTTCTTTGGGAATTTTGATCCGCTTTTGATACTTGATCTGTTTTTCAGCTTATTCCTTACTTCAAAGCACTGAAGCCTTTGCTACAGTGCCTATACACATACCTAGTGTGATTGTTTTTAAACTGTAATAAAAAAATAGAGACAATGAATACTTAAGTCCTAAAAGTTAGTAGCAATTTTACATAACCCACGCTTAAACAAAAGAAAGTAAACAATAAGTACTAATTGTAATTTAAAATGGTTACATTTATGTCGCTGTCCATTTTTCGATTAGATAACCTTTTAGCATCTACCTACCTGTCACATTACAATCCTACATTTATTTGTTTGTTGATAATAATCTATATAAAAGAAAGTCGTGTTAGTTACTCCACTTAAAACTCAAGAACTGCTGAACCGATTTAGCTGAAAATTGTCAGGGTGGTAGTTTAGAGCCAGGAGAAGGACATAGGATACTTTTTATCCCGTTCGAAATTAAAAAAAAAGTCTGCTTATTTATTGCCATTAAGGCGGAACAAAGTTCGCCGGGTCAGCTAGTAGGTAATAATGTGTTATGATTACTAAACTAGGATAATAAAGAACCAAATTATTATTGATTAATGTCAAGTACTAGTTAGATAAGCAGAAATATATTTTTGAGCAAGCCATACATAATGACATACTTTACTCAACATTTAACTTTAATTACCTAACTTATTACTTATTTATTGACTGATAGTTCAAGACTCCTCATAACTACGTGGTTCTCAATATTTCAAGGTAGAGCGCTACATAAGCACCTATTAAATTTATTACGTACCTACTTACGTACCTAGCACACCTACGTTAAATGATCGAAACAGAAAAGTAAATAAACGCAGCTAACTAAGTAAGTATAAGTACCCGCAGTTTGAATATGTCGATAGTAAATATTTGCGAACCAACAGGCAAGAGAGATGTCTCCTAGTTCCCGAATCATGCTGAGGCATAAAACAGCTCAATCAGCTCAGTCAAGCATTAAAGTTCCGTGTTTTGAGGGAGCTCGCCGCGCAGAGGTTTTAGTACTTACCTAAGTGGTACAGGGCGACACGACAGGCGTCTACGAGTCGTCACTCTTCCAGGATTTCCCTCATCCATAACACTGATCGACTTCGTGATAGCAAATAAAGCCTTCATAAAGATTTATGTCCTCCTCGTAATTAAAAAAATAATTTAGGGTCTGCTGTGTTGCATAAAAACATGTTCTTTGAAGCATACATTTATTTAAATTCCATACGAGATGTACATGTCTACGTGATATACAGTGTGAATTTCACAATATAATAAATAGGTTACATTATATTATATATATTATAATATTATAACTTTAAAAACGTATTTAGTTACTGAATAAAAATACGGACACGCTTTTCCTTTTTTTTTCTAAATATCTAATCTCGTATTATATTGCCTCTGCTTTTGCATAATCGTCAGGAACTTATTTTAATAACAATAATTTAAATACAAAGTCCTAAATAACAAATAAACTTAGGTAGAAAAACATTATCGTATCAACAAATAATCTGTAAGTAATGAAAGCACTTAATTGATAATGATGATGAAAATTATTTAACGAAGGTACGTAGAGATACTTTGCAAAATACATAGCAAATGAGGAGTAGGTAACTTATTAAGTACGCGAAGACGCAATTGTTCTGCGTAAATATAAGTTAATTAATTATCACAATAAAAATATCACATACAGTGATTATAGAAACATCACAAACCAACCAACAGGTTTTACACCTGAGGATAATTTAAGTCAGTGGTTTTACTTAATTAATAAACAACACATAAGCCAAAATGTTTGATCCCATCGTTATAGCCATTTATTTTTAACCTTGTTCCACACTCATACTAGTACGTAATCAAAATATTGTCATGGTCGTTTTTATAAAGGATCACCACATTTATTCCCAGACCTGGATCTTAAAAGTTGAAAAAACCCATTATCTATCACACTTATATTAGTTCCGAGTAAGTCCTATAAAGTACCTACGTAGAAACTGCTGGACTGTTACTCGTCAAGTACTAATCATAGAGTCCGGAAGTTGGAAAAATAAGCGAGCATGCTCTATGTATATTAACTTCTAATCTAACTACTTAGTTAGCTTAGAAGACCCAAATCCGTAAATATCTACTTCACGTAAATTAGCAATAATAAAAAATTTACAAAATACTTCTATTATTCGCATTTATTTAAAAGATAATATAGAACTTTAAATTCTAAGATAAATATTTGAGTACTTGTTTTATGGTTTGATTATCATACGTCTTCTAAGGATAATATGCATTTAAACATTCAATAACACACGTGGATATAATACCTATATGATTCTTTCACATAATTATAGAATAAGTCATATTCCTCTAAAATAATTTAAAATCAGTATCGCCTTTTTCATTGAGGAAAGTAGACTGGTATTAAATATTTTAACATATTTCGTGGCACAGTTCCAGACAGTGTGACAGTAGAAATACCTTATGTATTTTATTGTCGTTATGCCTGTAGACGAAACTGAAAGTTATGTAAATAAGATTCTACTTTATTGTCTACTGTAAATACGATACTTTAAATAGTGGATTTTTTTTACTTTTCAATGGCTTTAAATACTTCATCGGCAGCTGCCTTTACTTCCTCCCAGGACACGTGAATGTCAGATTCTTCGGTAAAAGCAGAGCAAATAGCAAGCCTTAGGAAATAAGTGTCATCAATTTTGGAAGGAACCAAATGAATCTTGCCTCTACCATTAATGCGCTTCAACAACTCTTCATTAATCTCATTGTTTCCCTTCAATCTGAAGCATACAAGACCCATCGTCACTTCTTCATACAACTCGAATCTCTGGTCAGAAATGCAAAGCTCTTCAAACTTGTGGGCCAGTTGAATGTGCTTCCTGATGTATTTCTGAAGGTTTTCGACGCCGTAAAGCCTCAAGACGAACCAAAGCTTGAGGGACCTGAACCGGCGTCCAAGAGGAATTTGCCAGTGACGGTAGTCTGGGGCCATTCCTTGCATGTCGTGTTTCAGATATAGGGGGTCGACGTTGAAGGCATCGACGATCCACCTTGGTTGTTTGAGCCACATGGCGGAGCAGTCGAAGTTGACGAGCATCCACTTGTGGGGGTTGAAGTTGTACGAATCTGCTTTTTCGACGCCCTTCATCAAGTAGCGGAATTCAGGGCAGATGAAGGCTGAGCCGGCGTACGCGGCGTCGACGTGCAGCCAAATGTTGTGGGCATTGCACACGTCGCCGATCTCGTCCAGAGCGTCAAACGCGCATGAGGAGGTGGTCCCCAGCGTTGCAACAGCCTGAAACATAATAATATCAATGATTAATCAATTTATTTATCCTTACCCACTTTTTATGTAGTTAATATCTGTTTTTTCATAAAAATCAAATTAGATTTTAAATCTTTATTGTGACTCTAGATTTCTAGAGACTAAGATTATTATTCGATTATGTGCTTTTAAATCTAGATCGATAGATGTTACTAACAGCACAATTAGGTGGTCTTATCACTAGAAAGCGATCACTAAAATGAAAATTCAAAGAATCTTACAAAGAATGGAATGAGTCCGTTGCGGATGTCCTCCTCAACAGCCTCTTGTAGAGTTTCTCCGCGCAGCTTCCTCTTTCCATCGGGTTTCAAAGACCTGAGTTTCACACCGCCCAGGAGCCCAGCACGTTCCACTGAAGAATGAGCTTGTTCTGAAAACGATTAAATATAATTACTTACTGAACTTATTTACTACAAGTACTACTTATCATTTACTTATGTACTACCTAGTGAAAAACTCTATTTTTAAATTAGTATGTAGTAGGGAATAACTTTATTGACACAACTGTATAAAAAAACTAAAACCAAATAAAGGGAAAAGTATGCGCCGAAAAGGCCGAAAGGCGTTTGCTACACAAGTGATGTTTTGACACTGAGTTTGCAGTAAGTAAATTAGGAGAGTCCCGTTTTCAGCAGTAGACGTCCTATTTGCTGAAATTATGATGATGAAATCTGAAAATGCTTACTGTTGCAGTATCCGACAAGTTTAGATAGTATTTCGTATTCGGTCCACTCTGGGTGCTCCTGTTTCACGCGTTGCATCGCCTTGGCCTTGGCGCCCAGTAGCGCCACCAGCGTGGCCTCACTGGCCGTGCCCTGGATGACTCCGCCAGCCTCGCCGCCAGAGCGGGCCAGGAAGGATTCCGGCAGGCCAATCATCTGGCCCAGCCAGTCCAGCATCACCACCTCCAGTTCAGTACACGCGGGGCTGGCAATCTGTAATAAGAATGTAATTACTGAAATGTTATGGTAGAGTTTCAGTACGCCCTTGAAATTAACAGTTGCTGAAGTATGTGTTCTTTCAGTCCTTATATTTAGAATAGCAGGAAGGGTTCATCTAATGCTTTGGATTCGTAATAAGTAAGTAAATAGTCTCTATCTAAGCTATGGGGAGTATTAGGGAGCCTAGCCTGTGTGCCTACCTAGTCTATACACCTACTCATGACTTATTATGTATTAAATATTGTTGACGTCATAAAGTAACTGACATGTGAATAGAGTCATAAAGTAACTGAAATGTGTATAGAGTCATAAAGTAATGTAGGAAATGCTATAATCAGCTGCAGATAGCAAACGAAAGTTACGCTACATCTTGTTGAAGGGAAATTTTAGATGTGAAGGAAACGATAAATTCGATAACATTTTAAATAATGAAGTTAATACATAATTATGTTATCAACTAACTCGTAGCGCCGTAGCGTGAAGTGCGGCAACTATTCAAATTATAATATTAGAGGAGTGTGCGAATACGAATTTGGCAAAGGGCAAAAAACAAGGTGTTAAGCAAATCGAACTTTTATTTTATGAAAATAAAAAGCTTGCAAAGGCCAGTGTCAATGTCATGTCCTGTGCAAATGCGTACAAGGTAATCCAGTTTCATGATTAAAACAAAACGTGAACATGAACAAGTAGGTACCTACTATTGTAAATCCAGTTACTATCCAAATCAAGAACCAAAATCGGTCTACAATGGCCTCGATTCTTTTGCTTCGCTAATTTATCTATTTATGTACCGTAAAGAATTAATGAGTACAGGTAGGTACAGATCACTTAGCTGTCTCCAAATTAAGTAGTATAAAACACGGTTTTATAACAAACGGTAGATAAACATAACAAAACTTAGGTAGGTAAAACTTTGGTTAAAAAAAAGTTCAACAGACAATAATATAAACAAATCTATGATTGTATGCATTAATATGAAACCCATTATTAAACCCATAAATTAATATGTAAGCAACTTTTAAATTCCATTTCCTAAATTACCCGTAATTACAGGGAATAGTTTTTTAACAATAAGACTTATGAGAAGGAAGTGAGTAAACGGAATCACAAGTATTATCTCCCATGGAAATATGTAAACTGATTAGTTATTTCTTACTTAATTATTTTTTAATGAGCTGAAATGTTAAAGAATACGTCACGTTCAAAACTTTGAAAAATGGGCTACCCGTATTAGAATGTAGGCCTTATCTACTGTGATGATAAGAATTGGGATGTAATGACAAAAGATTACACAAAGATGAGAGATAGCTTGTCTGGCGTATGTAGGTACGATACCCCATCTTTGGTACGAAGATGTCGAATGACAAAAGTCCACCTGACTCTACCTAGCTCATACAATAAATAAGAGGGTGACCAAGCTTAGGCGACTGAGTAGAGAAGCTTCCAACCAGGGTCGTGGTGGTACGCACTGCGGNTCAACCAGGGTCGTGGACACGTGGTGGTACGCACTGCGGCATTAAGCTGAATGGAAGCCTTTTTGGCATCATTTTCAAATTAACTTAACTGTTAACTGCTAAAAGTTCTGTAATTTGCTGTTTTTAATATGCCATATAAATATATTATTTTCTTTCTTTCTTTCTTGTCAGTACCAGCCGATATGTGGTCCCGAAGTGGTGGTATGTGTCTTGAAAGGGTCTACCTACTAACATTAATAAAGAATTGTTGTGGAATTTATGAACCATTAAATAGCATAAATTCCACAACATTCCTGGGAATCACTTTAGATGCTAAACTTCAATGGGGTCCTCATATTGAAACTTTGTCAAAAAGGCTCAGTTCGGCTGCTTTTGCAGTGAGAAAGATAAGGCAATTAACTGACATTGAAACGGCAAGGCTAGTATATTTTAGCTATTTTCATAGTATAATGTCATACGGCATATTGTTGTGGGGCTCAGCCGCGGACATTGAAACTGTGTTTGTTCTGCAGAAGAGAGCAGTGCGGGCCATTTATAACCTTGGACCCCGATTTTCCTTGAAAGATTTTTTTAAGGAAATAAACATACTGACAGTAGCTTCACAGTTCATTTACGAAAACCTTTTATATGTCCGCAAAAATATAGAGCAATTCACGAAAAAGAGCGATTTGCATAACTTTAATACAAGAAACAAAAATAAACTTGCCGTTCCAAATTTCAGATTGCATAAGATTGGTAATTCATTTATGGGAAAATGTATTAAATTCTTTAATAAATTACCACAAACTGTTGTAGAACTACCCATTCATAAATTCAAAGCACATATTAAAAGTACCTTAATGAAAAAGGGCTACTATAAAGTCGATGATTATTTAAAAGATAAAAATGTTTGGGATACGTTACTGCCTAGCTCGCATAAATATTTATAACTTTGTACATTTTAAAGCATGTAAACCTTTGAAAAAGAGGCTGACAATAGTGACTGAGTTTCTTGCGCTGCTTCTTCTCAGCACTGGCCCATTTATTGTCCTGAAGCAGTGGTAGGGTTAATACTGGGACGTGTAAAAGTGCTTTTTTTAAGCCTATTTACAGAAATAAATGAGTTTTAATGAGTTTTAATTTGAGTCTAAAGCGTGCGCATACCCAAGTAAATCCTATGCAGGCGATAGCGTCACTCAGCATGTCAGCCACAATGGAAGGGTATGAGTTGGCGGTGGGGAAATACGCGTGGAACCGGGGGGATTGCCAGTGTGTGACACCGGACATCACCACGCGCTCGATGTCAGCCATCACCGCCGTCCATGGCTCAGCCTTCTCCGGAGCCTGCTCTGGCACCAGCGGGCGCAAGTATCCTGGCTTCACCGAAGGAACCACTTGTCTGGAAAGTAAAATAAGACATTATTTGCATGCTTTTGTCACAATTTGGAAATAGCTGTTTCTATTAAATTAAAATTTACTGTTACCTATGGCAAGTGCCTAATAAAAGACTAAAAAATCTATTTCACTAAAAGGAAAATGTTCAGGTTGGAAGAATATTTACAACTAGCCATAGGGGATGAATTGAATTTCGGGTCAAATTGTAATAGGTGATGTCAAATGTTGCAAGTATTAGGTGTTATCATCTTTACCTGTCTCTAATATTGCTCAGATACTCCACGATATAATCGCTCATCGCCTTAGAGAAATCCTTGAAATCGGCTGCGTCCATTGTTTCTGAAAACAAGTAAACGAGAATTCTGTTAGAAAATACAAAGTAACTAATCACTTCTACTACCATGTAACTAATCGAATATATACGATAGCCGAACGGTGAAGGGGTCGGACTGGCCGACTCGTGATCCAGGGAACGCGGGTTCGGTCCCCGCCGCCGCTCGACTATTGTGGTGAGCTCACTCGTGACACGAGCTTATTACAAGTAGGGGTCGCAAACCGGGATACCGAATTTCGAAAATACCGGAATACCGGGCCAAATTTAGGTCTAATTAATACCGGTATTCATTTCACAAAAACCGGGATATTCGGTATTTTCGGTTTTAGTAAAATAAATAAAAAACAAATACAAATAGAAAAATTTACGCGCCATTTAATTCAAAATACGCGCGCGCGAGTTAACTAAAGTATTTGAACTATTTAACCCAAGTTATTTTAATAAAGGATTATAATTATGCCAAATCCATTCCAGTCCAGAAGCTTGAAGACATCTTCCAGGGCGGCGGTAAACAGTTTTGGAGATATGACGTCTCCCTGTCTTACCTCTGGCTGCAGCTGGATAGGTTTCGAGTCCCGATCCTGGAGGCGGACCCACATTGTGGCGTTTTTGTATAAACTTTTCAACACTTCGATATATCGATAGTCAATTTGGCACCTTTGGAGAGATTGTAGCACTGCCCAGGTCTCGACCGAATCGAAGGCTTTCTCATAATCCACAAACGCCAGGCAAAGTGGTTGATTATACTCCTCGGTCTTCTGTATAATCTGCCTTAGCGTATGTATGTGGTCTATGGTACTAAAGCCTTTTCGGAAACCGGCTTGTTCGGGAGGCTGGAAGTCGTCGAGCCTGCGAGCGAGACGATTCGTAATGACTCTTGAAAACAGCTTGTAGACATAGCTCAGAAGTGAGATGGGCCTATAATTCTTCAACAAGGTTTTGTCGCCTTTTTTGAAGAAGAGTATCACCACACTTCTGTGCCATGTCTTAGGCGTTTTTCCTTCGAGGATGACGGAATTGAACTTTTTTTTTGTAAATACAAACTTATTATACATATTAACACCCAGACCCATCACAGAAATTAAAATTGAACCAAACCCAAACTTGGTGCGATTGTGTCGTTTTATTGCGAATTACCTTCCAGCTCCATCATTAGACCCCGATTACTATATAGAATTAAAATACTCATCAATACAAAACGAACGAGCCCAAACTCGATGCATTTAAGTCGTTTTATTATAGAGTTCCTATGGCCACCTTCCAGCTCCATCATCAGATCAGCTCCATGTCATCATAATATTGCATGGTCATCCAAATCACATGTGTTTGCGAAATTTCAGCTTAATCGGTTGCCTGGAAGTGGGTCTTAATTCAGTTTGCAAGATTCCACCCATACAAATATGAGCCAGTCGTTGTAATATGACGTCACGCGCATAAAATGGCGGGCCGGCCGCCGCCCGCACTTTTAAAATTCAATATCTTGGAAACTAATTAACGTATCGAAATAATTCTTTCACGTGTATTTTTTATTTTTAACAGAGAATACAGAAAGCTAAAAAACAAAATTAGTGAACATTCTTCATTTTGTTAGAAAATACAAAGTAACTAATCACTTCTACTACCATGTAACTAATCGAATATATACGATAGCCGAACGGTGAAGGGGTCGGACTGGCCGACTCGTGATCCAGGGAACGCGGGTTCGTTCCCCGCCGCCGCTCGACTATTGTGGTGAGCTCACTCGTGACACGAGCTTATTACGAGGGGCTACTTAACGGGAGTATTAGTAATTTGTGCAATAAAAAACTTTCAGACTCTTTGTTCTCTCTTTCTCTATGGTTGGCTCTCTCATTTTATCTCTCTGGAACAGCTAAACTCTTTGAAGTAAGGTGATTTCATAGATTCGAAACATGCCCATAACGTGTGGTCACTGGGTCGTTCGTAGAATGTAGAGCATGCGCTAAATTTTATTTTTTCTTCATCCCGTTAGTGATCTTCATGAGAACTCTCGCGAATGTTTTATAGTTGATAAACTTGACAATAGCAGATCGAATAACCGTCACTTGTCAAGAAGTTTCACATAACTCGATGTTCGTCGATAGATATGCGTAAAAGTAGGTATTTCGTTGAAGAAAAAAAGGCCCGCTCTATCTATTTTTTTACATGAGTATTTCCTGCGGGTAAAATATTGAACTAGCCCATTGAATGCAAAATTAGTCTCATCTGTTATAGCTTGCAAAGTAGTGTGTACTTTTAACTACACAAGTTGCGGGAATCTTTCATATTTCTCATTCACACAATAGGTGATTCGTTGAAGAATAATTGCCAGAGTCAACTGACATTTTTAACAAAGAAATGTTTGCAAGTGTAGATACTCTTGTGCCTTTATGTTAAATTATTATGTTACTCTTTTGTGTTCATAACAGTTAGGATCATACATAGAACTATAATACGACAGGTTTTTATCATGGCATGATACGGACGGAACCTGTAATGTAGAGATACCCAAGTGTTCTTTGGAAAATAAAGTTTATTCTATAGATATTACAGTAGTAATTAAATTACCTAATTGNCTTAATTGATATAAATTGAATAAAAAGAAGTGGCAAAAAGTTTGAGGGTTGATTGAAGGACGTTTGTTCATTTCAACCTAAGCTAAAAATATTTACTAGGTAGGTACATGCTATTTATATTTTACGGGTTTTTATTTTCTTTTAGGGTCTATTTTGAGTCACCTTGACTACAACGTTTTATTATTCTAAGTTTTTACAGTCCGTTGATGTAGGTAGGTAATTTTATCATAACAATAAAATTATATTTACTTTGATAATTTAACTGTCGCTTTCATAAATAAGTAAGATTAAGGAGTGGTGATTGACATTCATTGATATAATTATTACAACATACGCTATCTTTAACGCCCACTTTTATTTGACCTCTGTCTAATTTGTCACTAGTTCATGATAGTGATACTGAAGTGATTCTACCGGATAACTTTGGGGTCCTACTCCTAATCAACAACCGCGGTGGTTCACGTTCAATGCCGAGAGAACGGCGCGGGCGCACGTTGCGCAACCTCCCACGAGCAAGTGGTGCGAGGTTATGCCTCGGACCTCGTAGCCGGCACTCTCCGGTTGGCAAACTACACAAGTTTCCTGACCAAATTCATTCATTGTAAAATATATAAAGGCAAAACAAAACTGAAATCAATAAAAATATGAGCTTTCCTTTCCATGATTCAAATTCTCAACATTTAGACTCTATCAACGAAACCTAGCTAGTGGTGGCTTGCAATATTTATAAGCGAATTATCTTCGAGGACTGCATCCAAATACGATTGTTCGAATTTTATATTTTATTTATTTATACTTTTACACATAAAACTGTACAGTGGCGGACTTAATGCCAGGTGGTATCTATCTACTTATCCCAAATGTGCCTATCTCAAATGCCCTTTAGTATGCTCTTAACGCTTAAAAAATTAAGGAATTTGCGCGTAGCAAGATAAAATCTAACAATTTATATTAGCAATGCACTACGATAAATTGAACGTGTACATACTTAACTACTAATAAGACTTTAATTATGTGATTTCGGTATATTTTATGTTAATGTTATTCTAATAATAATCAAAAAATACACGAAGGCAGTAAATCCAAAATTTACAAAATACGATTATTATTCCATAGCAGACAAACAAATACACACCGAAATTATTCAAATAGCATCATCGTCATTACGACTCCAACCAGTGATAGAGACAATTGGCATCATCTAATAAAAGCACGTTTTCGATGGTATTCGGGGCACCCCGAATACGTCAATAATACCGAATACTTACTTAGTCAAACTGCGTAGTGACGCACAGTGATTCGAGGAATATGATTGCTTGCCCTTTATTGCCTACGGTTTGTACATTTCATTTAGTATAGAACGTTTTGTTACTTTAATTAGGTATACCAATTCGCTGCAAGTCGCGTGGTCCTGATAGAGTAGATTACTACGATCCCTGGATGTTGTAAAAGGCGATTAAGGAACAAAATATGAACATCACGCCTCCCTAACTTGTCTCACCAGCATGGAGACTGTAGCCCAAATCCTCCATTTACCTCAGGAGCTTTTACTCAGCCAACATCCCTATGGTAAGGTATTACACTAATCACTCGACATGTAGAGCTGGCTAGCCTACCTATGAAAGCAGGTTGCCAAATAAGGATAAACTTCGAGTTTATTCAAATAATTATGGTGATCATTCGAGTCTGTAATTTCCCTGAGTAAGTACTTTCCTTTTGACGTAATGTAGAAATAAGGAAAACTAGCAAATATGTATTCAAAAAAATTAACTCTTAATTCCACGTTTTATCGCCCCGACTTTCCTTAACGAATTTCCTCGTTCTGCAGGTAACTTACCTGAATGCAATTTTGTGATTATGTTAAATATTTAACAATCAATCATTGATTTTCCTGAAAATGCCTTTGTTTTCCCGATATCGTTTGTCTTAATTTCGCCAATTAAATATTTCTTAAAAGTGATCCGTTTTGAAATAATTACAATCAAAAGTTTTCAATATCTAGGGCCCTATACCCAAGTAAGATAGGTGTGGAAGGCATATCGTTATTAAATGAAAACCTAGAACAGACTGCTACTGAAAATCAAAACTATGACAATCTAATAGATATAACCAAAAAAGAAGAAACTCGCAATAGCTTTAAAATATACATAACCTATTAGTGAACAGCCTGAAAGATTTTAATAAATGAACACCCACAAAATCTCCATCTAAAACACCGCATCAGTTGCAAGTGCATTTTAGTAGCACTAATATAAAAAAAAACTATGAGGTAAGTAAATATCATTATAGTTACGTGAATTTATAAATACCGCCGTAGTCATGTTTTCAACTAAATTCAATGAATCGTACCAATTCTTTTTATTGAAGCGTGGTTAACGAGTTAGGGCCAAGGCGAGATTTAACGCGACACGCGATCTTACTAAAACGCTAAGACAATTGTTGACCCAATAATCAAGATGAATCTTTGAAGAATACATACATAAAACAATAATTTTACCAATTATGTTTTTAACGTTGCCTAATATTCAGAAGATATTCAGTTTATTTACATAAACTATCAAAACGAGGTAAACCAGTACCTAGGTACATAATAACGTTAATTTTAATGATAAAATAAGCCTCCACAAAAGATGAACGTTTTAAATTAACTAAATCTTTTTAGTAGGAAGTTTAAAATCTTGGCACGACTTATTTAACTACTAAAATTTTATTAATAAAAGTTATAAATATCATTTTAATAGCTAATAATCACTTAACATCTAATTTATGCATTAATTAGGTATTATTTTCCTTGTATTTTTTTACTAATGCAATTTTCAAAGAGTTCTGCAAGGCCTGTGAGGAATTCGGTGCTTAAGTTAATTAGGCTAATTTAGAAACGTTTTCACCGCAAACGGGGAATACCGGGTATTCCCTCGTTTGATGAACTGAGTCTGACGACGCGACAAAGTGACTCAAGGTACAGGTTTCATTTGGACTCCATTTTCCTCGTACCTAAATGTCAACATCGACAAACGTCATCATTACGTACGATATCGTTCCAAATAATATCTAACGGTATGTAATTAGTTAATAATTAGCAAACTCTACCTAGATAGGTAATTTTAATGGGTTTTTCAAAGTAGCGACGTTTTTAAAACGCTTCTTAGTAAAACACCCTCATTTTGTTTAAGTAACGATTAGACTAGAAGTGGTTGAAATATAACATGCGATTATTATTTAGTTAAATCTTAACCACCTTAACTTGCTAAATAAATTCTACTGCAGTGTTCATTGAATTATCTCTACATTTATCACTTTACATAGACCTACCCTTTATTTGCATAGAACCAAACTAATCTCTAGATTAGTTTTGTTCAGAAATAATGACTAAAGACCTACCTACATAATGTAAAATTAAAATAATCGAAAACACTTTGACTATGAATTCCTCTGTAAACTGAGCGCGTTCCATTTAGGAACGTAGTAATAAAACGCTACCTAGCGAAATATTACCACGCCAATTCCGAATACTACCTCGTCTACACCTACGAGTACCTACATTAGTGCCAATTAGATCAAAACGTAAGCTTGGGAATTTTCTATTTCGTTAAGTTCTTGAATTAAACCGAATTTTGATAAATAGGTACTACCTTCGCTGTAAATTAAGCCCTTTCCATGTTCAAGTAACTAGGTTGGACTGACCACTAGGTGACAGTGCACGCAATGTCACTTAGGTCTAGGTCAGGGTGTGGTGAAAAGTTAAAAATTAAAAAAGTCGCTAAGTTCCTTAGAGCGTGCGTGGGCTTATTAAATATTAAATTTAAAATTAGCTACAGATGTCAATTTATAAACGATCAACTGATATAATGGCTAATCATTAAGTTACACAAAATTAAGCGGTTTTTATTACGACCTCATCATAGCTGTCAAGGTTTATACCAAATAAGCTGCTTATAAAAAGAGATAAACTGACCACTTCTGTTTCATGTGACCAATAATAATTAACCTTATAAAGTCTAATTGTAAATTGTTTAATTTCAAGGTCAACATCTTTAATATCTAGCTTTGTTATTCCAGTAAAGTAACAGGTTTTCAAAGACAAATATCTACTTTACTAAAATGTTTAAATAATAATCAAACATTGGAAAAGCTTATTACTTACTTAACTTATTTCTTTCTTAGTTTATTTAAGTTATTACAAAATAACTAACAGTTAAATTATACGTCTCGTTTTAAATCTCCAAAAGTTCTCTTTTAGAATACAATTCTTTGGACATCCTGTGGACAAAATAAGGTATTAAAATTATTACTTTACACTTACCAAAATATAACAGCAACTACCAACAGCTAGCCTCTCTTCGAACACAGTAGCACAATGCACTTTAGTAAATTGGTATCGTATAATTTCGCGCGCGAGGGGCCGCCAAAAATCAGTACGTCCGACGCGGAGAATGAAGCGGACTACGCCCGCGCCGCCGAACGCGCTACCTTTATATACGAACAATAGTATGTAGCCAACTCTATTAGAAGACTACCACGGCGCATGAACCAACCGAATAACCCAATATCAAAACTCAGTGCTTTTGTCACATAATTGAACCTAACTCTAGGGATTTGACATCCAGTCAACGTACACACGGTAATACGTAGACGAGTAAATGTGGCAACAAACTTTTGCGGCTGGCACATAACAAACCACTTGTTGCCATTTTATTATCAAAACAAAACCTTTCAGAAAAACTTTCAGGCGCTAACAGGTGAGTATTGTACCTAAAATAAACTGAAACAACTGATTACTTTAATAAAGGCATTACTTACATTAAACTGCCAATTTAATAAAGGGTTTATCAGCATGACTGAAATGCATTAATTAGATTTATCTACATGTAGTCGGAACTTATCGTAATTTTCCCACTAATAAGTAGGAAATGGGCTCTACCTTCGCCGATTACTTTCATTCTATGATCTGAGCTTTCATCGTTACAGGCTCTATACCTACCTACTCTCCTACCTATGTAGCGACAGACCAAACTCTACATATTAAACGAAAACATCTTAATGTTTTATTCATTGTTATTATTGTAGGTATTTGTAAATAAAAGTATGTATGTTTGATAAGAGTGTTTACTTATTACTATTATAGAATATAAATTAAAGGCCCCCGCAGCGTTTTTCTTTCGCATAAACAGGCCAGTCAGGGCAAAACGTAGTGAATTATATCCTCTTTGGTCAGGGCTGACAATCGCGGCGGGGGACATGTATGTAAGGTTAATCTAATCTCAGAGACAACTCGTATTTTGATAGTGTTCAATATTACGACAATTACCGAATTATCAAGATGAAGGTTCAATGTATACAGTGTAACTTACCGATACGCATTCTGCTGGATAATAAAATAAGATTAAATTTTGATTTTTGGCTGCCATACTAAATTGGCACTTTTTTTAAATCTGAAAATTTTCCGATGAAATCTCATGGCAAATATTCTAATATCAATGTACCTACGTAGATAAGTTAATGAAAGCTCTAAAAAGCTTTTACAAATAGCATGCTAAAATCCACTTCTTTAGGTAACTGTTCTTGATATTATTTATGGTATTATTAACGGGTATACATATATGATTCTTATATCTAAGAACTAGGTACTTAGTCCTCTGAAATGCACTAAATCTTCCTCAATTAAGGGTTTTTAACGGCCAAGCATTTTGTTCTGAATTTTATTGAATTTGCGAGCCTATACTTTCCTCAAACGGACTAGCTTCTTTGAAGTGAGTTTTTAATGGTTATTAAATAAGCTTCCTTAAAGGGAATGATGTAGCAAATTTATTAAGGTGCATTAACTGTGTTAAAGGTGATCCAGGTGTACCGACGACCACATAAAGGTAGCAGGAAGGCGCTGGATGACTGGCTACCAACCGGATGATGTGTGAAAATTATCATTCCTTCCATTTGACACCACCGGTGGTGTCATATGGAATCTCTAGTTGACAAACAGCTCTCAATTCATATTTTAAGTTATCTCAGGTAAGTGCTCCCTACTTCGGTATATAAATGCTCGTTTTCACCATCAATTCCTAATTTTTAAGTGACCCCTATGGTAACCCAAAACAGGAATTTTGTTTTCAAAGGGGTCACATAAAAATTAGGGATTGATGGTGCAAACAGGCATATTAAGGCTCTTACGACTTTAATATTTATTTTACCTAATATCAGTAGGTATGAAAGCTTTTGTATGGTGAACTTTGGTCTTTTGACAGTAGGTAACTTAGTTTTCATATCAACAACTAAGCAACTTCGGTGAGTTGTTCTGATTAGGTACGCCCAGGATGGTTCCTATTACACAAACAGATGTATGGATTTTGGTTGGCTACTTAAAAGTATATTTTTTTGTATGTAACATCACGAATAGTCGGTGGTGTCATATGGGCTAGACATTCCATATTAATAAATCACCACCGGTGGTGTCGTTTTGGTGGTGTCAAGTGGAATGATTGGAAATTATTGGGGGAGGCCTTTGTTCAGCAGTGGACGTCCTTGACTGAAATGATGATGATGAAAAAAGATCCAGTAGATAAGTAGAGTAGGAATTCCCGTAGAATCGTTTTAGTCAGGAGCTATTCAATAGTTAATTCATACTCATTTTCAGGAAATTAACAGAAATAAAATGAAAAGCGGTCTTTGTAAGATGGCGGAAGTCGGAAATTGGAGCGCTCCATGGCGGAACCCTTAGTTGTACCTACCCTCCAACTTTACTGACATTCCAATTCCATAATATCCTGCTTAAACCACTTAATTGATAATATTTGACCTACCTACTTAAGTTAGTTCTATGTAGGTAAGTTTTATGTGTAAGATAAATCTACGAAGCATAAAAACACGAGTTCTTATGAAAAATAGACTCGTAATTTAAAATACTTAATGTGTTTTGTATTTATATCTCAAACTTGGATATATCTTTTAAATACAGACATTTACTTTTTGACTTTGTTGCACTATTTTGTACCTACTACCTGTGCTACTACTTAATACTTACTCGGTCGCTGATTGAAGGCTTATACCGCAAACTTTCACAGTTACTCGACTTATTATTATTCTGTGGTTTTACTAGCATTTAAACAGTGCTCTTTTCCAATGACGTCAAAGTATAACTACTTCAAAAGATCGCTCTCAGGCTTAGTGGCCACAAGTGCACCGAGTAATCCTCTCAATGGGGCTTACGTATATAGGGTGTCCCGAAAATTGTGTCACGCGAAAAGCTCAGAAGTAGAGCAACACTCTACTCAACTCTAACTACCAATTCTAAACCTACCTAAACATTGTTTAAAAGCTTAATAACCTAAGGAAAGACTATTTTTCCTCCTCCTAGATAGAGGTAAGTATTTACTCAGAAAAATTATGTGAATTTCCAAAAAGCTTAAAGTTACTTAATTGATGAACAGGTACGTAATTTAAAAAGTTGAAGATCTTTTTATAAAGTAACACACAATATTTCACTAATTTCTGATGAAAATGTATCTTTACATTTAATTTGCTTGGTAAATACTGCGTAAAGAGAATAACATCGAAAATGAAATCGTAACTCAAATCCCTTATCAATACATTTTTATTCAGTAGAGCCATACCTACCTACCCTAAAATCAAAGCGAAACCTTCAGCAGAATGCGCATGTACCTACTGCATATTATACAGCACCAACCTAGTTAAGGATTAGGGCTGCTAATACTTGGGAGTTATGTGACCTATTAATGTATAGAAGCTGTATTTTGTTTGATTCTAGAACTTTGAGTAATTGTTGTAAGAGGACCTAAAAAGTAGTTAAAAGATTTTTATTTCGGATTATTATCCGAATTTTTAATTTACATAATTAAACTTGAAATAGGAGTTTAAAAGGTTGTAGTGTTGTACACACGGCNTACACGGCCACACTGTTAACTATCCATTTCCGTTTTTGCTCTCGCTCTAATCAAATGGTGATTCTTTGCGATACAACGAGATGTCATGACTGGGAATGGGCAGTTAACACTGTTGCCGATAGTACACCTAACTATAATTTAATTACTTAAGTACAATTAATTATTAAAAATTGTAAATTTATAGAAAAATTAACAACTAATAACAAAAAAGTTGTTTAATTTAGTAAACATAAAGCCAAAAATACCTATTAAGCACAACGTAGGCATTAATACAAATAATGCATATTATTTTAGCGTTTAAAAGTGACATCCCTCTTAACATGGGCTCCCCTAGTCCTCCCGAGGGAGACAGAATTGAATCAATTCCCTCCGACGGCGCGGCGGTGCGATAACTTAGGAAAATCCGACTTTCAAAGTAAGTAGGATACCATCCATTTCATTCGCTTCAGCTAAGAGAGGACGCAATAAAACATGATTTCTGAACAATTGAGCCAATAAACAGTAAGTAAAGTAAGTAAGTACCTACGTTAGTGTTTTACTTTTTCGTATCTATTTTTAACCGACTTCTTATAGAAGCATATCAATAAAAATATGTAGAACAAACTAAGTAAGTAAAAATCCTTCCTTGTGAGGTAAACAACTATTCTTCATTATTTTAAAATTGTAACTATTTTATCTAAACCAGATAAGTACTCGTAACATACAATAGATTAGGCTGGGTTCAGTCTTCCCTTCATTAAGTACCCATTTACCTACTTATCATACGTTTTTGTACATACACATAGGTATTTTACAAACCCAACCACTTCCACATTCAATAACTTCCTTAATTAGGGTTCCACGAATTACTTACTTATCTATTGTGAATCATGATCATTACTTAAGTATTGTTTTAAAACGTGGAACAAAACATGGAAGTCTACTAAATTATATTTCCACGGATAATGAGGTGGAAAGCTTAAAGCAAGTCATTCGTCATTGGACAAAATGACGCAGAGTGACCGACATATCGATATTTTGCTGACCGTTACGTCCCTGGCTCTTAAAGGCTCCGCGCCGGGTAATTACCCAGTGACGCAGGTTCGCTCTCTGCTCTCGACTTCACAAGGGCCTTGCCTCCCGGGGGCATGCGAAGGGATGAGTGAAATGGGGAGGTAGCCCACCACTTAAGTTGTAACCATGACAACGCCAATGGAAAGCTTTTGCAACAAGTGACCCATTGAAAGATTTCCGTTCTAAATGTAGCTGAAAGATTTACCCCGATTCAACTTTCTTGACCATTTAAAGATCTTCTTTGCAGAGAAGATTCATAAATGACTAGGAGATGATTACACTTGTCTTTTAATTTCGGTTTTTGTTACTGTTTTAATGTTGTAATAACTTACGTTGATAATGACAAAAACTTCCATTAAGTACTAACTTTCAGGAATCATCACCAGCCGTGTTCGCTTAGGTATCATTTTGATGAGTCGAACCCGCGACCTCGGGCATAGTGGTAGACTATGTAATACGCGAACAGCTAAGCCAGGCCAGGGTATAAAAATTAAAAAAAAATCGATATAAAAGCTATAGTTTGAATATTTATTTTAAACAAATTGTAGGTAAACTTAGTCTAAATAGGCTAATTAGTGGGTATTTTGTAGGGCTTCAATGGCTAAAATATGCTTACAATCTTTTAAAAAAAAGCAGATTAGTTTTTTTTACAGATTTTAAAGGAAATTTAATTTGAAAAGCAGTGCTTTTCATCCGACTACATTCAAATGGCTCGGAATCGAATAATCCATCGATCCATGAAACATCGTAATAAACTACAAAAATACCAAATGCTGTTTAATTTTATTCCTTGGCAGAAAAAAAAACAACTGTCATTACGTACCTCATTCATCTTTCGTTCATTCATCATTCACTCTTCATTCCCATCGGCACGTCTCTCCGCTATCCCCTCGCACCCCCTCCGACACCTTCCATCCACGACGAAAGTTTAGGTTCAAAGTCTGGGTCCAAAATTACTCAATAAAATTCCTTTTTAGTCGTTATTTTTTATGTGTTTAGCATAATCTATTAAACATGGCTAATTCTAAGATATTGGGTGCATTGAAGCTTCTTAAAAACCGTAAAGATGTGCAGTTTCTAACTGGTAAGTTTTACGTACGATTCACTAACTTTTGATGTACCGCACTCATGAAGTAACTTTTTTGGATTGATTTTGTTGCATCTATGGACGTTTTTAGTAATGTTTTGTGTTTACCATCTAGGTTTACATAGTAGAACATACGCAGCTGCATCAAATGCAGTTCACACGAAACGCAAGATAGTTAATGGAGTGTATGTTGTGACTTTGGACAGCCCTGACAAGAAGGTGAGTTTTCCACAATAAGTCGTCTACAAACCAACGTCTGTGATTTCACAAGTATAATAAACTTGTTTAATAATTTTAATGCAGGTCAACTCTCTCAATGAAGCTGTAATGCAAGAAGTTAATGAAATTATAAGCGAAGTTGATTCAAATCCTTCCATTGAAGCTGTTGTTTTAATATCAGGCAAACCAGGTTGCTTCATTGCTGGTGCTGATATCTCTATGCTTGAAAACCTTAAAAGTAAAGAAGAAGTTGTAGCTGTATCGAAACGGGGTATGTTTTACTGCAATAATAACATTTTGATTATTCCTATTGTTAAATAATGCTGTTACATTATTATATCTTTCAGGCCACGAAATATTTAGAAGGATTGAAGCATCCAAAAAGCCATATGTAGCAGCAATCCAAGGTTCCTGCCTTGGTGGCGGCTTGGAAACAGCTCTAGCATGCCGCTACCGTATTGCAGTAAAAGATTCAAAGACTGGATTTGGATTACCAGAAGTCATGTTAGGTCTATTACCTGGTGGTGGAGGCACACAAAGGTACACAATCTTTGAATCTTAACCAAAACAACAACAACTTATATTGATAAACATATTCATTTGTTTATTTTAGAACTGCTCTGTTTAAACATTGACATGACACTAGTATCACTCTGAAGTCTATACAGTATTTTTCAACCGACTTCAAAAAAGGAGGAGGTTCTCAATTCGACCCGTATGTTTTTTTTTAATTATAATGTTTTTTCTTGTCTCAGGATGCCAGTTCTTACATCCATACCAACAACCTTGGACTTAGCACTTACTGGTAAAACTGTTAAAGCAGATAAAGCGAAAAAACTTGGAATTGTTGATCTGTTAGTGTCTCCATTGGGCCCAGGTATATTTCTAAAATAAATTATATCTGTAATCTTTTTTATTATTTTATGTTAATTAATTTTCTTTACACCTAATTGTTGCAATTGTGAAACTTTTAGGCTTAGGTCAACCTGAAGTTAACACTGCCCAGTACCTAGAAAACGTAGCTGTTCAGGTAGCTAAAGATATTGCATCAGGAGCTATGAAAGTAGATAGATCTAAAAAAGGATTAGTTGAAAAAATCACTGCCAGTGTTATGCAATGGGAATTTATTAAAAACATGATATTTAACAAGGCCAAAGAACAAGTGATGAAGGCCTCACGTGGATTGTACCCAGCACCATTGAAGGTCAGTTATATTACTTTGATACATTGGTCAAAACACATAAGAAATTAAAAATATATAGAAGTATTATTAAAACTATGTTCATTTACAGATTCTTGAAGTAGTAAGAGTAGGTGTTGACAAAGGACCTGCAGCCGGATATGAAGCAGAGGCCCAGGGCTTTGGTGAACTGGCTATGACACCACAAAGCAAAGGATTAATGGGACTTTTCAAAGGACAAACAGAATGCAAAAAGAATCGTTTTGGAAAGTCACAAGTCAATGTGAAAACAGTAAGATCAACTTTGGACAAAAATTATGCAATTTTTAACCTTTTAATAAGTTCAAGGATTAAAACTAACTGTAACTGTAAAACTGACTGTTTTTTTAATAGATTGGTGTTCTTGGTGCTGGTTTGATGGGAGCTGGCATTGTTCAAGTATCCATTGACAAAGGGTACCATGTTGTTATGAAGGATGCAACCAATGCTGGACTTTATAGGGGTGTAGGCCAGGTCCAGACTGGCCTCGCCAATGCCGTTAAAAGGAAAAGAATATCCGCGTAAGTATCATATACAAACTCAACAATCATTTACATTTATATCAATATCACTTTCTATGCAAACATAACATGTTACAATTCTTTTTCAGGCTTACAAAAGACAAGTATTTATCAAACTTACTGCCAACTTTAGATTATGCTAAGTTCAAAAATACAGACTGTGTAATTGAAGCTGTGTTTGAAGACATCAACATCAAGCACAAGGTTATCAAAGAGCTTGAGGCTGTTGTGCCTAAACATTGTATTATTGCCACAAACACTAGTGCTATTCCAATCACTAAAATTGCAGCTGGAAGTAGTCGACCAGAGAAAGTTATTGGTAAGCAAACTTGCTATTTAAGTTATTTTTATTTATTAATGATTTTGCAAGCAATCACACAATAATAAAAAATCTTATATCCAGTGTAACAGCATGTGGCAGCCTCGATTAGGGTTGCCTAACACAATAATTTCCACTTTTCTTTTTTGCAGGTATGCACTATTTCTCACCAGTGGACAAGATGCAGCTTCTGGAAATCATTCGGCACCCTGGCACCAGCGACGACACGGCCGCGGCCGCCGTCGCCGTCGGCTTGAAGCAGGGCAAAGTTGTGATCACGGTTGGTGATGGCCCTGGATTCTACACCACGAGAATTTTGTCCACTATGTTGAGTGAAGCAGTCAGGTATATCAAGAATAGATATTTTATCACCAAAAATCATTTATATTAAAATTTCGAATCGTCTTTAATTAACAACAAAATAAAAATATTGTGGGAACACTTTATTAGAGAAACATACAGTAAAATCATACTTATCCAACCAAGTCCATTACTTTGAAAATTATAAATAACTTGAAAAAATCGAACTGCCTAAGGCGGGAATTGAACCCACGACCTTCCGCTTGCCGGGCGACTTAACTTAACTTGTTTCATCTTAACTGACAGTAAAATATTTGCAACAATATTTCTGTTAGATGTAGGGTAGGTATACTTAACATTGATGAAACAAACGCTGGCTGTAACAGCGTATTACACTTGAAAATTTCGACGGGTTCATCCAGTGTCTAAGTAGCTCAGTTGGAAGAGCAGTCGCCCGGCAAGCGGAAGGTCGTGGGTTCAATTCCCGCCTTAGGCAGTTCGATTTTTTCAAGTTATTTATAATTTTCAAATTAGTTTGAGATGCGACTCTAAACGCTAAAAATTTAATAACTAAGTCCATTACTTCCAAATAAAATTTTGTTATACAGGTTACTTCAGGAAGGAGTGGATCCCAAAGAATTAGATAACATGACCAAACAATTTGGTTTCCCCGTCGGCGCTGCGACGCTTGCTGATGAAGTTGGTATCGACGTGGGCTCCCATATCTCCGTCGATCTTTCCAAGGTCTGTTGTAGCTAAAGTCCGGTCGCCGAGCAGATAAATGTATTGCTGTCGCGCTCGCACACTCAATGCGGCCGCTCGTCGCACAGTCGCGACAGCAATATAATTACGTGCGAGTGATAAGGATGGGTAGGTTGGGGTCATTGGACGAAATTCTATCTGCTCGGCGACCGGACTTTAGAAGTACTTTATTTTTCCAATGATAAATTAGTATAGGACAGGCTAGACGTAATATTTTAATTTAATTTCAGGCATTTGGTGATCGTTTTGGCGGTGGTGACTTGAACATTATGCAAGACATGGTCAAAGCAGGATTCATGGGCAGAAAGTCCGGCAAAGGAATCTACGTTTACGAAAAGGGAACCAAAAACAGGGATGTAAACCAAGAAGCCATCCAAATCATGAAAGAAAAGTATGCTTTGCAGCCCCGAGGTGCCAACACGGTTGAGGATCAGCAGTTAAGAATGGTGTCCAGGTAAATTTCCTATCTTTCTACCTTTTGAAATTGATAAAAAAAAGTCTATTCTCACACGTAAAAGCGACTTTGTTCAAACATTTGACTTATTTTAGGTTCGTCAACGAAGCAGTGTTGTCCTTGGAAGAGAAAATCCTTCATAGCCCCTTGGAAGGAGACGTCGGAGCTGTATTCGGGCTCGGTTTCCCGCCGTTCAGCGGTGGACCATTCAGGTGATGATTTCCATTACATGTTTTTTTTTATTCCACTTGATCTTTGGATTACAAGCTAGTTTCAAAATTTGGTCAACCTACTAATAAAATAAGAAAGTATGAAGATGACTACTGAATGGATTTTGATGTAACTTTATATTATTACTAGCTATGGTCGCTACGCGGGCTACAAAAGCTGGGTCTGCGATTGTTTATGTATATCAGAATAATAACGATAATTGAGTGAGTCAATTGGACAAATTACAACGATAATTCGTATGAGTCGTTCTAAGTGATAAACTGAATTTCACGCGGCGACCACGAGCAGGAGATAGTGTTATTTACTTATACCAATCACTTACTTTATTACTGTATTTGTTTTTATAGATGGGTGGACCAATTTGGTGCTGACAAGTTAGTTAAGAAGATGGAAGAGTTCCACGGCCTCTATGGAGCTCCCTTCAAGCCAGCTCAAACTTTGATTGATATGGCTAAGGATAGCAGCAAGAAGTTCTACCCAAAGTAATTTTTGAGTATTTTATAAGTTATAAATGAATTATGATCTTTTCATTATTTCCGTCATCTTGTATTAATGTTTTGTGGTTCTATATGAGCATATATAGTGACTAAAAAGGATCATAAGAACTGTTATTTAAATGCTGTTAATTGTTGAAGAGTAAACCTGTGTAATACCTATTTAGTGGATAATGTAAGGAATATGTTTATTCAAAATTTGATTTATTGGATACATTAATACATGACAGAAGCTAAAGAGGAGTATTTATGAATGGAAAGTGTTAAATTTTTGTGTTTAATTTATTGAATGTAGGCCTGAGATTTTCGTACTATGTATTTATAAACCGAAAATGTAATTATCCAGAATATAATTTGTATAAAAATACTATTTGTTGTATTATTTGAAATCCTTAAAATCCATTTAACTAATCACTTGATATCATCAATTTGTGTACCTATTTAATTAGCTGATGCTGAAATAGATAGAACTTAAAAATCGAAAGAACATTAAGATCGAACTTGCTTTGAATATTTTCAAAGGAAGTTACCTAAACATAGTTAACCAAAAGTTCTTAGAGCCTGTACATGGATACTACAATGTTGGCTAGTAGGTAGGCAATGTATGCATTGGTAACTCCAGATTTGAGGTGTGCCGATACTAAAAAATCCCTAAAATGGGTCAAACATTATTCATCCCACTTGTGTACTAGAAAGGACATTGGGAACTTTAATATGAGAAAATGCCCCAGGGCGGACAAAAATGAAACGTATTTTATTTCAAAGCTTTATACTTGTAGGTATATTCACTTAAAGCGCTATGTTGTGAGATATGGGAATTCTGAGATATGACGAGTCTAAGTTGAAAATATATTTGTCTAAAATGATTTGATATTTTTACATGTTATGTTGTTTGGCATTGCAGAGTAACCAATAAAAGTAAATAAAATAATATAAATAAATAAAAAATATAAATAAAATAATATAAATAAATAAAATATTATAAATACTTAAATTAATATTAGTCAACATCTCATATATTACTCCAACCCAAAATAAGTAGCTAAGGCATTTGTGTTATGAAAATCGGGAACGACGAACCACAACACACCCAAACCAGAGACAATGTGAAAAGATCGTTTTCTATATTGTCCCGGCCGGGAATCGAACCCGGGACCTCAGGATTGGCTCGGCACACCTTGAAAACCGGTGTGTGCGCCTCTCCGCCACGGAGGTCGTCAAAAATGTTACCTAAATGTAAAATAAAATAAAATATTAAAACTTCATTTTCTCAATATTCCCATATAAGAGAGAAAAAAAAATGCACGGAAATTCATTGGATATTAGTATGTATCGTCTGTGATAGGTTTCGTTTGTGTCCGCTACTTTTCGAAAAGTGGGGCAAAAAGTTCCCAATGTCATTTTCCCCATTATGTAATAATATAGGGAATGTTCTTATAAAGGACTTTTATGGAACAGCATATTCTCTACTTCTGACTGTAACATTAGGGACGTCTCTGGTTTGAGTTAGCCTAATACAAGTAAGAAATAAGTAATTGAAGGCAATTAGTGACAACCATTTGACATTGACACAAATATTTATGGTCTTGACACAGCGCTACAAGCTATTTAGTGCCTACGAATTTTATAAACTAATGTCATTTATCAGCGTTTCTATTGGTCAAAGCGTTAACCGACACCTACGTCACGTTACAGTTAACGATTTCTATTGGTTGTTTAATGTTGTTTCAAAGCCGTCAAAGGCAGTAAGATCTTTGGTGATATTTTTCCAATTTATTCTCTCTTCAACAAATTCTCACTGCCTGCAATGACTAAATGAAGGTATCATAGAAATCTGCTCTGCTTGCATCAAGTAGTTTAGAAAACCTGTTTTATTTATTTTACATTTAGTCCATACAATAAAGGTTTCCATAGAACTGATTCAACACAAGTACTTAAATCCTGCGAATAAAATTACCAATTAATTATATTCAAACAGTATGGCAAAAACCAATTATTAGCCCACATTGAAACAATGATCATGATTTGTGTTCTTATTGAAAAACTTTGGTAAGTGAAACAAATTATTAAAAAGTTTCATATCATTTTAATCATGCTTAAAAATAATAACTATAGTTTCTCTTTTTGTCATATTTCAGGTACCACATTAAATAATTGCAATACATAAGGCTGATAACTGTAATCTTTTTTAACATTTAGTAAGAGAACACACTTAAACTACACCTACAATGATTATTAAAACTGAATCAATAAAAAACAAAGTTGTAAAAAGATTTGTAGAGCATGTAGTTTATTTATTAATTGTTTTTATTTTGATACCGCTATTCTTTTATTTTGAGTTGTGTATAGTCTTGCCTGCCGTTTGTGATGTGTGGTCACCATCTTATTTTTTTCATTTAGTGTGTGCCACATTTTTACTGCATAATATTGTAGGTAATCTTGTGTATGGTATGTTTACTAATACTACTATTAAAGGTCGGTTTCTGGATAGCCATGGTTACAACAACTGGACTTTATGTGCAGCATGTGAATGTAGACGCCCCCCACGAGCGTGGCATTGCAATATTTGTAATATATGTATATTGAAAAGAGATCATCATTGCACATTTTTTGCTTGCTGCGTGGGCTATTACAATCACAGATACTTTATTATGTTTACATTTTACATATTTGTATCTATGCTTTATGCATTTTATTTTAACGTTCAGTTTTTAGCACAATTTTTAACATGGAACCATGGTTTAGCTCTAGTGAAATTTGTATTTCCCCTTGCTAGTTTTGTTATTGACTTTGGAAAGGACAGTTTATATGTTTTTTTGGTTGTAATAAATGTTATTGTAGCGGGTTTTACAGGTTTTCTTTTCATCTTTCATTTTAATAATATTTTAAAGGGCAGAATTGTGCCCGAAATGAAACATCCTAAAGATAATCAATATGATAAAGGATGGAAAGAAAATTTAGTAGAGGTTTTTGGCACTAAATGGTATTTTACATGGATTTCACCTTTTGTACAAAGCTTATTACCAGGTAATGGCATTGAATGGGTTAATGGCGAAAAGTTCGAATAAAACGACACTAAAACAATCGTTGTGTTTCCATCTATTACTTAGTTTCATTCTCATTTCGTAGTGTGTTACTTAATAACAATTCAGCCTTTTTAGTATAGCTAGAAACACAACATTTGGTGCTAGAAATTTAATACATAGTAGGTACTTATCTAATCACATTTTCCTTCCAACAGGTTGCTCTGTTAGAATTAGCTAAAATGTATTTAAAGTAATAGAAAATACTCATTCCAATGTACCTACCTTTCGACGCATTTATTCTCAAGAGAAATGTTACTTAATGTGTTTTGTGTATATATAATATCCTATTTATACGCGAATAGTTTTCAGTTTATCGGTGCCACTAGGTACAAAATGCAAAAATGTTTGTACTGAAAATTTGTATTCATAGATTTATTAATATGTGCTCTGTGCATCGATTGTTATCAGACAGTAAGTACTTACTTAGGTACCTATTTTATCTTAAATAACATTAGGACTGACAACCATACAGGGTCTTGGTAGTTTGGTTTCCAAAATTATTGTCTATATTTTCAATTAGGTAAATAAAAATTTGTACTTCATTTATATCACTTTTATTTTTAATATGACATAATTTTGTATTAAAGATTAATAAGTCACTAGCACATAATCACATTAAAATGTATTTTTCTTTAAATTATTTGAGATCATGTAGTCGTCAGAAATTTTATGAAAATATTGTTATTGACGGTAACTGGGCAATGATCGTGAATTACACAAATTATAAAACGTTTATTCATAAAGCTGTACGATCTACATAATGCAGTTGTCGCTGAAGAAATACCATCAATATGAGGCTCTAATAGTTAAGAAGAGGAGTGTCCAAATGAGCTACTAGTCACTAGGAAAAACTGGTTGGTTCTCATTCAACTTGTCAAATTAAAATCTCTTTACATGCACTTTAACACCTCCATGTCCGAGATTGTTCAAGACTGTGTCAAAATATAATGTGTTGTTTTTAGTCTCTATGTATGTTATTGAAATGCAGATTGTATAAAAAATAACGTTTTCAGTCACCATCATTTACTATTCTACAAATTACTTTTAGGATATAAAATATTTATTTGAATAATATGATTTGTACAAATGCATAGTGCCTTGATCTAAACTAATAGAAGATATTAATTAAATGTTTTATAGATATGTATAAGAAAAAATAAGTATAAAACTACAAAATAAACATGAATATATGATTAAGCAAATAAAAATATATGATTGACATGCATTCATTATTTTAGTCTAATTAAGTCAAACCTAAAAATACTTAAAACTATTACAGGATTTACTAATACTACTTCAAATCTGAAACTAGCTACTGTCTATCTGGAATATTAGTATTTGGCAATATTTGTGACAGATATCTGCTACGAATTCTATCAGATTGTACTTGTGCTACATCTCTCTGTGTAATTGACTGCTGCAATTCCTCGTTGGGTCTCGAATCAGTCTCTTCATGGTCGTCATTATCTTCGTTATCCAATAAATTGGCAGTTTCTTCCGTGGTATTCGTGTCCCTGTAATGCAAATTTCGTAAGCTTAATACCTACACTTAAAAATATAAAACTTCTGTAAAAACAATTAATGCAGAGTCGATGCTGTAATCAACAATGCAGAGTCGATACCGTGCCATAGTAAAAAAATAGAGTAGTTTTTAATAGGGTTTTATCAATATGCGACTACCATACATTTTGTATCACAATGGGGATTATGATATCATCATCAAATTGCGAACTGTTTTTTTAGTAACTGGCACTTACTTATTCTTTTTTTTTAAACTAAACTAAAAATTATAAACTAACTCGGATTTGAAGGCTTGAATGAACCTTTTTTTTTAAGTGTGCCTTGTATTTATTTTTAACTATTCCGTAATAGCGTCAAGTACCTAATTTATTAGTTTGATACTTACGTTTTCAAGGAGTCTCGCATGCTTGGAGACATATTGAGTACACCATTACTTGTTGAATCCATTATGTATATTATAACAGCAGCAATCAACGAAACTGCAAAAAAGTTATGTATTTTTATCACCTTGTCACTGGTGTACCTAAACTATACTGACTATGCACTCAATTTTGAAAACTTACCAAAAAGACATCCCAAGAAAAACATTTCCAACATGAGGTAGCCATATTTATCAACTATCATTCCAGCTAAAATGATCACAGTGGCTAATCCCAGATTTTGAACTGCCTGGCAGCTAGAAACAAACAACTTAATTAGTATACATTTATCACTCTCCCATGAAGTTTTTCAAATCACCAAATGATATAAAATATAAGGAAGTAATTTAAAATTATGAGTCTCTTGGATCAAGAATAATATAGGAAACGAGAATCAGCATCAGGAATTCAGGATATTGATTGTACCTACAGACTTGGCCAAATAGACAGGTCGATGAGTTCATCAATATTTGTCCATTTACGGGAAGTGAGAATGGTACCTACTATTCTACTCTGCCTGAACTATAGGGCGCTGATAAGACAGTAATATACTTATCCGTGAAATACTTACATGCCATAAGCAGTTCCCAATTGATTTTCTGGTACAATCATTGCTACCAACGGCCACAAACCACTGGCCAACAGAGAGTAGGATATTCCTAATGTGATCTGCAAACACAAAACTAATTAGTCAGTTTTTTTTATTTCGGGCAATGTAAATAAAACTCGCTTTGAATTTTAGTATCGTCTTACCACTCCTATGTACGGATTGAAGAATGTAAACGCCAACATGAAATGTGCTCCAATTGTGGTCACTATGCTCACTATAACCCATGTAACATTCCTTCCAGTTTTGTCAATAAGAATACCGAAAAACGGACTTAGAGCCGCTGAGAGGAAATACACCATTGAGTTCACATTATTTGCATCTTGTGGGATGAAGTCAAACTTTCGCTCAAAGAATAATCTGAAAATAATATTTTAAAGTTAATTATCATGTTCGTATTCCAGTTACACTGATAATGACAGCTGAATACTTACTTTCCCAAAGCAATGAAAGGAAATATTGCCAGATAATATGCAACACAAATTACAGAAACCATCCAGAAAATAGATTTAAAGTGAAGGACATCTTTAAGTTGGAATGGCTCCTTGTTTTCAGCCTCTTCTTGACGGCCCAAAATCTTTTCTGCTCTGTAGTCCATCCAGCCCAAAATCAAACCGCATATTAAAGAGAAGAGGCAAGTGAGTGCAGCTGAAAATATCAATACATATTAAATGTAGAAAAAAGAGGATAGAGGAATTCGCCAAAAAAATGTTTAATACTTTTAATGTTATATGAATAAAATATTTTCTTTCTATTTTCTAATTTAAGGGGATATCCAAGTACAACCCGGTCGAGTTAACTGCGCACCTGGGTCCGTGACGTCACTTCTACGGACGGGCGGACGCGGGTAAGTGGAGGGAGAGTTGCATTCTAGCGAAGTGCGCAGTTAACTCAATAAAGATTTTTAATATATCGTTAGTATTACCTAAAAATAATGCAACTCCAAGGCGTTCATAGCCTACGTAATAATTCCCCACCCATCGGTACACAGGTTCCATGACCCAAAAATTTACTGTACTTCCAAATCTCGAAAAAGATAATTGTAGTCCAAAAACCATGTTTAATTCTTTTCCTTTAAACCAAAGGACTACATAGTTATTTACAGCTACTTGCAACGATTCTCCACCAATCCTGTAAACCAAAGAATCAGTTAATAAGAAAATAAAATAATATGATGATCAATCTTTATAAAAGAGTTTAACATACAAAAACCCCCTAAAATGTATTATATTTAATACATTTTAACATCTTTCTTACCCAAATATAAATCTACCAAGAATCATCAACCAAAAGGCATTAATGTAAGCACCAACAGCAAAAACAACTGCTCCCACAAATACAATCGTCATGTATATCACAGTTCCTAATCTGACTCCAAAATATCTAAAACAAAGAAAAAATTAACATTACAGTTTTTATTAGGTAAATACAGTAATCCGATTATAACGACGCTCAAGGGACCGATGATATCACGTCGTACTAAAGAAGTATGTTTTTACGTTATTTCTCAACAAATCAACCAACCAAATCAAAAATATGTCGTCGTAATAAACGGGTTCTACTGTAATGTTAAAGAAAAAAAAAGTTTAAAGTTGAATTTCATGCAAAAACCACATTTTGTATTCATATCACAATACTACATTAGAGCAATAAAGTGCAGGATTTATTTATAAAGAGGCTCTTGCTAGCTATGAATTCTCATACAAAGCCATAGCATAGTGTCATTATTGGCATTTAAATAAAAGATCAGATTGTGTGCGGCTAAAGGTTATTGATAAAGTACCTATCTACTGAATAATATCTGAGTCGTGTTTATGTTTTTGTAAATATGTATTGCATTGATAGCACTCTTGCAGTTGCCCTCATTCCTATTTCAAAGGTTAGTTTATTATTATGAGTAATTGATATTGGTATTAGTATGTAATATCTTGTATTAAATAGTTATTTATGCAAGACTAAATATTATTTTCTTAGCAGTGCACATTGACATCTATATTAGTAGGTGATCTATATTATTTTACTAATATTTAATGAAATTGTATACAGACAATCAGAGTGCATATCCAGCATAAAATATGTTAATTAAATAGATTGATTATGTTGTGTCCTTAAAAACATGTACGTAAACAGGCATTGTATTACAATAAATAAAAGCATGTACTATATTATGATAATTACATACCTATCAATAAGATAACCACCAATGAAACACAATATCACATTAGGCCACGAGTATATCGAATATAGTAATGCAAATTGAGATGTGTTTAAATGTGAGTCATCTTTGAAATTATCAGCAAGAGCGCCTGGAGTGTCATAACAAAAATAGGAACCTGAAAAATTAAGCATTATTATAATTATTACATGTATGCAATATTATACACCAAATGCAAGTTTTAAGTAATGATCCTCTATACATTAATTTATCATAGTGTGTAACAAAGCATCTACTTAAGTCATCAAACCCCAAGGGATCGCAAAATAGTGCATAACAATAGATTATATTATTATCTATTGTGTCTCGATTCATGGAGCTTAGACCATATTTTATCAGTAATTTCTCTTTCTTTTCAAAGTCAATGAGGAGGGGACAACAATGGGAGATATTAAATTACATGAACATTCATTTCACATACTCACCAAAACAAAGGAAGCACATTAACATTAATGCTATGAACCTATGGAACCTATTTGCAGGATGGCACCATGACGTCGGAGACAATTGGCCTGGCCTATTGTCACCACTAGACTCAGGATTTTCCATGATTCTAAAACAAACAAAAGGGAATTTAACAAATATTTACACTAAAAACACAAATTATGTTTTTACAACCAAAATAGAAAAAAATATTTACAAATAAATATCTGCTTTTATTAGGAAAATTAATCTGTTCATTTTGCAGATAGGTACTCTCGTTTTACACAAGACAAAGGGTTAGGGAAGATCTTATCTACTTTAGGGAATTCATGTATAAACTTACTTTACATCGACACTAGCAAATCTGTATGTATAAACAATGTCTTAAAAATATATTTTTAAAGGATTTCTTCATAAAGCTTCAAAGAAAAGATTTACCTAGTTAAAACTTTCAATTATTATGAACCAAGGTAATTTTTGTAAAAATCACTTACTCTGATTTGTAGTTGTATTTTGAAAATGCATAAAATTGACTATTTGAATATCGTATGTGACGTTTTACTGTCCGAATTTATCGAAAAGACAATTATTTTTGCAAGTAAACATGAAAAGCAAAGTGAAAAATATTCAACAACCATTCAGCAATCTACTACCACAAAAAATGTTTTGACACTTTTGACACTTGACAGTTTGTTTTTTTTAATGGCTTTTTCGTTTACTTTTAACGGCTTTGGCCAAGTAGCAAATTGATCACTCATTCACTCATATAAAGAAATAAAGAACGACGCACACTTATTAACTCGAAAAGGGATCGTAACGGCACGGTAATACTATATGATATTATTACCGTGGTAACGGTGTCAACTTGAGCCGTTCATTATTCTTTGTATGGTGTCTATTGAAAGCTTAATGAAAGAAGAGACGGCTAGCACTGCTAGCTAGCACCTAGCACTCCCCTTGACAAATATGAAAACTCTCTACTGTAATGGACACTATCGGAATCATAACGTAATTGCCTTACCTCGAGACAAAGCTCACGAACCGTGCTACATGGGTGGTCAGCTGGCTTACGACTCGCCGTCCGAGAGCTTACGGTTCGTCGTCTGCGAACTTGCGGTTCTTCGTCCACCTTCACTTTTCTCACCCCGCCTCCCGCGTAGGATAGCTGATACAAATCGTATATTTATGTTTGTTATTAGTTTGTATAGGTAATTATGCAGAACCCGACTGTTGCCTCCGATGGTAAAATGGTAGTCAACTGTCAGTCAACAGCGGTCGGCGAGCCGTAGGTAGGTACTTATTTATTATACAGCCGCTGCCGTATACAGTATTTTATGCAACGTTTACTTTGTCCTAGTGCAGTATTCAACCCTGAAGTAGCTACCTAATATCCTATGATCGGATTGCTACGTATTACTTTTTATTACAGCTTTAGGTACTTATGTCTTAAAAGGAGACAAGTTGAAAGTAGAGCAGTTTTCGGGATGGCAGGGATTTGAATTTATGGCAGTTATTTCGTCAGCAAATCTATTCGAATTCTAGATCCACAGAAGTAGTGAGAGTTCTAATCTGTTCGCTTAGATAGATATTGCGTTCTGCTCTGCTGTGGTGAGGTATTATAATGTACCTACCTATGTAGTAAGCACAAATATTATTTACTTGTATCGATTTGCATACAACGGACCCTATGTTTATAGCATATCAACCTTAGATATGAATGGTTATCACAGTTCGTTCGTTTCAGCCGAAAGACGTCCACTGCTGGACAAAGGCCTCCCCCAAGGATTTCCACGAAGACCGATCCTGCGCCGATCACAGTTATCATGCGAAAATAACACTGCTAAATTACGAATATCCGCTGCTAATTAAAAATACAGTATCAAGCCTACTGGCAATAAATGATTTAACGTATTGAAATTTTGTAAAATTATTTAGCGAATGATATTTACCAACGTTGACAACGAACTAGTAATCTTTTACGCTCACTGAGAAGGATCAATTTCCAAAACATAGTATACCTAATAATGAGCCCAAACTTGTTAATTTTCCAATCACACGAAGTACCTACCTACCTACCTGAGCTACCTACATAAAATTTAAAACATAAAAGGCACTAATAAGGTAATTAGTTAGATACGTAACCTACCTACAAAGAACTACTTATGCTAATATACTTACCGATATTTCTAGTTAATGCGCAAATGGAAAGTTGTAAGGCGTCATAGTAAATTGTTTTCCTATGCACTAAGTAAGTAAGCTACGTTGTATCCTTTGTTCCTATTTGGTATCTTTTAAAAGCATTATTATCTGCTTAAGCCCAAGTAGTTTATTTGAAAATCAGTATTTATAAAATATGCTGAATGGAAAATTGTATGCGTCCTTTAATATCAATAAGCAAGCTGGAGGTAGGCCACTGGTGTGGTGCGGCGACAGCGCGGCGCTGGGCGACCGCAGGCGGGCGGTCAGGGCGCTCGGCGCGCAGTGCGCAGGGCGGGCGGGGGCGCGGGCGGGCGGCCGCCGGCGGTCGGGCGCGCAGTGCTCCTCGCGCAGGACCGGAGCGGTGTTCACTCGGCGGTGCGCCACGGCGCGACATGCCCAGCTGATGTTTATTTATACCGCGAGCTCGGTGGAGGGTGCGCGCGGGAGGCCCTCCCCTCCGCGGCACCACGGTTTCGCGTGATGCAGCCGAGCGAACTTGTCGACACCGCGCACGCCACTAGCGGAAACCCCCCGCAGCGTGGCCTCAACGGTGGCCGTTTCGACTTTGACGATGGTGGTACATATTGTGGCGGGTGGGAGGACGGCAAAGCCCACGGCCACGGTGTTTGTACTGGACCCAAAGGCCAGGGCGCCTACGCCGGCTCCTGGCACTTTGGCTTCGAGGTTTCCGGTGTCTACACCTGGCCCAGGTGAGATAGTGACTTCGCCCGGGCCTCGCACATGCCCGAGCGCAAATCCGCGTTCGAAGCCGCTCCAAAAATAGGCTGCTATTAATAATTGAGTTCGGTGTTTCGCTAGAAAACGTGTGTAACGGCGGTGAAAGTGCCTCATGGCCTAATCTCAACGAAAATGTTTCTATCGATCTGTTTCTGATAACGCCACGTGATAACAATATGTAGCATAAGTACCTACTAATGTCAGTCTTGTTACCACTGGAAATGAATGAATTAAGATCTATTAACAATCTCAATGATGTAACGACCAATATATCGATATTGTGCATGATCAATTTGAGTTCAGTTTCGCACACTGTGTGTTCTAGTAGCCTGGAGTTGGACTCTACATCAAGAAGAATTAAAGTCGTATTAAAATTATGGTTTTTAAAAAAACAATCCCCGCACTATCATTTTTAACTAACTGAAATTGAAATGAGATTTAAACCCCATTACATCCCTAAATCTACCTAAACATTATGACAGTTAACGACTTCCAAAGAGTTAAAATGTGATTAATACCTACATCAAAATGCACCGAGGACATTAGTCATCATACGTTTTTAATTAACGGCCTGAAACTTGTGCTGAATTTTTTTTTTTATTTTTTTTTTTCCACACTTATGAATTAAATAAATTAGTCAAATGGTTCAATTATATGACTGAAACAGTCGAAGGTTTAAAGTAAAGTAAGCTTTTAAGTAAAGCTTAGATCCAAAAGTTAGACTCTACCTACAGGCACAGTTATAATCAAAACATAAAGTGTTGCTTACTTACCTACTGACTGGTTGTAATGGTTGGACGTACCTACCAACATCATAACATTGAAATTATACGGGCTCCCCATTTAAACTGGGACAGTTATTTAAATAATTTAAACTAGAACTAAAAGTTCTTAGTCTTACTTATGTATTGTTAATTCTCCCATCACTTTTGTTTAATTGGAACTTAATTTTACCTACTTAAGAATGATTCTGTGCATTACTTTTATGTGTAAAAGTTCAAATAATTATACATTTAAAAATATTTCAATATCCGTTTTAGTGTAGGTATAGTAAGAACCCAAAGTAGGCACTGTTTCATGAATATACGATGAGTATTTGTTTTGCATCTTTGTATTACACAGCCCCTGTTGTTCTTGTTGATCATGAATTAAAAATTAATATGACTGAAACGCGACTTCGCACGCGCATACCACTAAAATATGTACGGGTACTAGACGGGGAGCTTCCGTGTTAACAATGCTGTTAGCTTTCAGACGTTTCAGATAAGTAGAGGTGTCTACTTGACTAGGTACTGTTTAGTTTATTCGAAATACCTGAATGCATGCAGTAACACTAAGGCTGAGTTGCACCATCTTATTTTAACTTTGACAAACGTCAAAAATATGTCAAACTCCATACAAAAAGCACCGGTTATCGTTAAATTTACTGTCAAAGTTAGGTGGTGCAACTCAGCCTAAGTACATACATCAGCGTCAATTTAATACTTACTACTCAATAAGTATTTATGTAGGCACAGAGGAATTATTGGTTTAATTCTCTAAGTACGTAGGCGTTAGGTATGTAACTTATATCAATTTGTTGTGATACTGCTACCTACCACTTCTAAACTTACTCTATCCCCCTTAATAACACCATAATATTGAACTCTGGCTTAAATTGTCATTTAGTATGGAAATGTCATTTTAATCCAGAATTATTTTTTATTAATAAAGGGTAAATGCCTATGAATTGGAGTCCTTTAATATTTAACTTTATTATTTAACTAGGTAGGTATATTCTTTAACTTTATGATCCTTTAAATTGGTCTGAAAATTGAAATTAAGCCACTTAAAAAGCCGTAACGTATCAAGTTTTGAGCTTCGTGTTCCTCTTTTTAAGTTAAGTTTCCTACTTGGCTGAAAAAGAAGTGGCTATGGTAACTACGTATATTTACTATCTATGAAAGAAATAAGTAACAGTATAAGTATATTTGTGCATTCTCATTACATGAAACATGCAATGCAGCTGCTACTGCACTCGCTACAATTTACAACATTGTATGATGCAAAGATAACCCAGATATGAATAGTAAGTAGGTACTCCTTCCCAAAATGTAGAGTCGTTCCTCCGTGTTGATTCGAGACCACGATCGCCTCGCTGCATCCCCGAAGCCTAAAAGATAGAAAGCAAAACACATTTAAAGAACTTTCTATAGTCAAATCTTGTAAATGTTACACAAGGTAGAAGCGATAAGTGATCTACACATGTGGCTGTACTAAATGTATGGAAACTAGAACTGGAAACATTGATTTTTTGGATAAATCCTGTTTATTCTGTAATCTACTATTGAAACCGTTTGATAGAGCTCATGAAGCACATTCAGGATCAGTATCCAGCTTTTCCGATATTATCTTGTAGTTTTTCATATTGTGTGGCTTACCAAATGTGGTATGGAAGCTGGAAACATTGAATTTTCGGATAAATCCAGTTTGTTCTGTAACATACATAGATTGATACCGTTTATCTCGTGAAGCACTTTCAGGATCAATGACCAGTTTTTCGATATATTTTATTTTAGAAATAATCGATTGAGATCACTATCCTTTCCATCCTGTATAAAGAAGCGAAAAACAAAGTTTCTATTTTCCGAGTGCATGCTAAATAGTATCGGTCTATCATCTTGTATTATTTTTAGGTAATAATTAAAGGTATAAATTAATTAGCTCTACACCTGACAACGCACATTCAGATTGACTCTCTATTCATCTTAATATACCTATTACCTACTATCTTTAAAACAGTTACAACTCGCTGTTTAGGACGGTGTCACTAATTTATTTAAGAAATCTAATAAGGTAGATCCTAAATACGATTTGATATTATATTTTTCATTGTCTGAGACCAGCATTCATTGACACCCTTAATTTTTCTCCCAGTTCATCAACCTCCAAACAGTCCCTTTTATGTAGAGCTAGTTATAGATGCAACTGCGAAGGACGTTCTCCTGGATGCCAATTTGTTTTAATAATATGTTTTTTTTCTCATATTTTAAATTTAATTTTTAACTTGCTCATCTTCTACTTATGTCTATTTAAAGGCTTAATTGTTATCTAAACAAAAGATGAGCACGCTCAAGCTAAAAATCGCAGTTCAGAAACCAGGGGTTACTTTTGGTAACACTATCCGTAATATTCGTCAATTGGTGGTAAAGAAAGCTGTAATCTGACCTCTTTTTACATATTAATCAAGCCTACAAAGGTGTGAAAATAAAAGCCTTCCATAAATCTACTCGTAACTATAGGGAAAGTTTTAGAGATGCTAAAGTTTTATTAACCCAATTTCTTTCAAGTTTAATCTCCGATTACTTGACTCTGAATTATGTACCTATTACTACCTATATAGTTGTAGACAATGTTAAATTGTTTGTCTTTAGAATTGTAAAGGTTTACATACTTTAAAAAGAATAAATGAACAGTTTAAAAACATAAAAAAACGCTTTTAATTACTGCACTAAAAGGCTCGAACGAACCCAAACTCGATGAGTTTCCGCCGTTTCGTTTAGGAGTTCCTATGGTCACCTCCCGACCAGGCGCGGATCCAGCCCTGAAAAAAGGTTGTGGGCACAGCCACCAAAAATGAGCAAAGTGAGAGTTGGATCACTCACTACATGCCCGGACATACATACATGCATGCTTTTGTAGCATAAGATTAGCCTAAAGTTTAAACTGTCAAATAAGTTATTCAATAAAGAATTTATTTATTTATTTATGCCTATCGATCTTATCAATAGATCATAATAAAACAAGCAAATTAGGGTTGTGGGCATGCCCACAGTGCCCACAACGGTGGATCCGCGCCTGCTCCCGACTCCATCATCAGATCAGCTCTACCTACCATAAAATTGTATAATCATCTAATCTACAGGTATACATATAATTGTCAAGTTTCATGATGATACAAGAATTAGAAGTGCGTGTAATTCAGATTCTTAGATTCCATTACATAGTTACATACACGACGACCTAATAAAAGAGTGTTAATGAATAAAGTTTTTTAAACCTAAACCTACCTATAAAATTCATTAAGGGAGAACAATAATATCTAAGTTTTTAAATAGTAATACAACGTTAATATGCTGGTCACGAACTGAAATGTGGGATGAACAGGAACATTAATTTCCTAAACCTATCTTCCGTCGATGAAATTTTACACTTTATACCTAAAACCCCAGTTGGATAAACCGTAGTGAAACAACAAGTTTTGTTTGTTCGGCCGTAAGTTCATAATATTATTAAACGTAGTTTAATAATGAAACTATACTAAATAATACATCCCTATAGTTTTACAATACATACATAATTAATATCATAAACGTTTAAAACTAATAATTTTACGCGATGATTCCTCGCCTGCATGGCTTCGATTGTCATCGGCCAAGATATTTTTAGCATTCGTTTACCGGTCTAGATGTAAAATGGTTTTACTTTCGATTTGCTGTATGACTATTGGTATTGGTAGGTACCTAGTAGACTATTTTTATCCGCTTTAATTACTTTTCAAATAATTACTCACTGGCGCGATAGTGTGTTTTCAAGCCAGACAACCGGTGATTTTAAATGATTGAACTTTTTTCTTTTAAATGTAGGTAGCAATAATGAAAATTTTATATAGCAACATTAATAGATCGATAGAGTAAATGGTGTATGGCTCTGTCAGAATGCGACGCAGTGCCAGGCCTTCCGGTTATATCTCACAGCAACCGCCTGCTCCGGCCAACCCACTTTCATCAGGTCATTGCTCCATCCAAACAGGGGGCATCCCGACCGACATTCTTTTTTCTGCGTGACCTCCATTCTACGAATAAGACTTCTTTATTCCCTGCTCTGAGAAGTCGTTGGGGTAATGGTCTGTGCTGGTCAATCACTGGAGTTATTAGTAATGTCTGACACTGGGTTGTCAAAGCAGACTGAACCCAGTGATATAGAGTGGGTA